GGTGTTGGAGTGCTACCCACTGCCCACTGATTCTATCCAAGCCTGCTTGAGGGTCTGTGTGAACAAAGCGTTCCTGCTCTCGACTTAGTCGCGGACGAGGCGGCGGCCTCAACTTCCTACCATACTACGTCTTCACGTAGAGATCGTCGTCCCGGCACAGGTCTCTGATCGCAGCCTTCGTCCAGTAGAAGCGAGGAAGGGGCTGAAACTTGGCACCCATCTCTGTTGCTAGCTAGCTAAACCCCTCGCCAACAGAAAAACTTACCGAAAGCTCATCTTTTGACTAAAGAATGTTCCTTCTCTGCCAGAAAATACGAAGGTTCAGAATCCGGACATGCAACAGAAAGTACTTACAAAGAATCTATAGACAAGCGTTGGCCTGTAGTCGCAAGAGCCGCGATTCAGCAGCAGCAGCAGCAGCTTGAGCCGGAGTTAAATCTCGGAAAGTATCAGGAGTAGAACCACTGTGTTTGAAGTAGCTGTGTTCTCTTTCGGTTCGTCCCAAGCTAGTAAACTGTTCATGTCATTCGCTGATAGAGGCTGCTCTTTTTGCTTCATTGGAAGGAGGTTCGTCTTCTGCTGGTTCATTTTGTAGATGTTCTCCTCCACAGTGTTACATATCTGGAAATGTCGTCAGTAATTGGAAAACAGAAGAAACGTACGTAACTTACAATGAATCTATGTACAAGTGTCTTAAGACGTTGGCCAATCCGGTGGACTAGATTGATAGCCTGAGCTTCTACTGCCGGAGTGAGCAAAGGCTCCACCAAAATAACGTGTTCTCTATTAAGTTCAGGCCATTGGCACCATGTTGTATGGGTAGTAACATGACTTGGATGTTCTCCTTAAATTCCAAGATGGAAGAACCCATTTGTCTGTGAAAAACACAAAACGAGCACATGAGTAAGAGTAAAACAGATTATCGATATTACCTGAGAGGCTTTAGTCGAACCCAGCTGAGCTTGTTGCTCTTCAGTGCGTGTTTTAACAAGTCCAGCACTTCTTTCCACGTCGAGAACACAAGAATTTTCACAAACGGATCGGGACTAAGAATTCTCCTGACGACAGCTTCAATCTTCAAAGTTGCAAAAGAATTAAAATAAAAAGACGACAAAGCCAGATTACCTTTGTTCCGTACGACCCTGCCACGGTTATAGATTTTTCTTCGTCCTCTTCTTCTTCCTGGAGGATTTCCGCAATTTTCGAAGAAGCCGCTTCAGCATTGGCACAAGCAATATTAGATACATAAGTCTGCTGCACGTTGGACATGCAATGCGCTTGAAATCAGCACCGTTAGCTGGTGCTTTCTGGCGGTCCACAATAAGATTCAAACCTGCGAAATAAAATGAAGATTTGCTCAGGAAACCAACAAAGTAAGACACCAAAAACTTACACTTGCCACAAAGCAAATGGCCGCATGGAAGGACCATTGCTCCAGATTCTATGCCATCGTGGCAAACTGGGCAAATTTCTCCTTCCAAACTGTTATGCCCCTCGTCCTTCTTATTCCTTAGACCCTGCAATCCGGAAATGAGAGGAGCTGCGAATAGAAGAAAACTTAAGCCTAATACCTTCAAGTATCTGAGCTGCCTCTTCACACGAGATAGATTCTCAACAGCAACAAATTTTTCGTTGGTAAGCTCCGCGTTTCTAATTGCTATCTCGTAGCCTTCATCACCAAAAGGATTGCCGTCTGCAGCCTTGGCACCTTGCAAACATAGCCTTGTTGTCGACATGCTCAGCTCGTCCAATGCAGTTAGAACTAATTGTTGTGCTGTTGTAAAGCGTCTCGCCGCTGCATATTCGCTACGCAATGCCTGAATTGACATGGTTTGTCAAACAGACTTACAAATAAGCACAGGAGTGTTTACTTCAAGGTGGTTCGTTTCCGCTTTCATGTATGCAAGTAAAATTTTTAAAACCATTTCCGTTTCAGAACATCTGTGCGTAACTTGTGAAAAGAAATATTTAAGCTCGAAGCAAAGAAAAACAAAAGAAAAAAGTTTAAAAAACAAAAAGAAGTTGCCTTACCGCAGCTACTGCTGCTCCTTTTCTCCTGCCTGTGTTCGTCTCAGTTTCCTTGTTTCCCTTATCCAGTGAACGTACTTGAGAAACAAAGGCGTCTTCTGCAGTAACAATGCCATCTAATTCAGCTGCTCGGGAGCATATTTCTGTTTATCCAAGATTTGCATACTGGCCACTGACGTACTTCCTTCGTAATTCGTCGCATTGACTGATCAGCATATCATCCCTCAGAGTTCTTGGAATTTTGCTCAATGCGTCATCCTTGCAGTTTCTGAGTGACTCTTCCAAATTGTGTAAAATATGGACTTTCTGAAGCGGATCAACTTCAAAATTAGTCGCATTTTCCTCCGCGGCTGCTAGTGCTTCTCGGTCAATGGAGACAGCCATGGGGATGTTTTCCTCGATAATCGCCAGACCTGCCAGTCCGTTCAACGAATCAACAAGATCTCGTTGAGCTTCTTCTCCTTCAGTTTTAGCTTTTTCAATTAAGACCTGAAGACTCTAATACCAAGGTTCCTTACCTCCAAGACTTCATCCATCGGCCTGCAATGAGCGTGGTGATGCCTGCAACGAGCGTACTCCCGAACTCCCCACTTGAGGATGGCAACAAGCTTGTCGCAGCTTCAACAAGGGGTTCATTAACTTTGAGGTATTCATATGATTTAGAGGTCGACCAGCACCTAATGAGTACTTCTCAATAGCTTCTCTGGCTCTCTTCACGCATTGCTCGTGTTGTTGCCTATAAAAGTGGTTCTCAACACCCGAAAACTTGAGCCATGTAATTCGCTCTTCTTGAGGAGGAATATCTAGCTGGTCTATGACATCGATCTTCATAGACCGCCACATAATCTCACGGAAAAAGGAATGAGCAAAGTCAACTGCTCCCATTTTTCCTTCCTGGAGAGCAACGAGTGTTACTTACAATAAAAAGGAAAAAACACATAGTACCTCGCAAGGATGTTTTATAGCTTTGCTGCCACCAAGTATGATTGTCAAACGGCTCTGCTTGTAAGAATCTAAGCAAGCCATGCAAATCCCTCCTCCTTCCTTCACAGTCTTGTGGAAGACTAGAGCTCCTTTGCCTGGAACTAAACCCGACTGACTCTCCTTACTGCTCGGCACCGTATAGTTCTCCGTTTCTTCTTTGCATTCCCGCAAGCCCAATGAGTTCCACGAGACATTCTTTGCCCGGTTGTCCACTGTTACTGACAAGGGCCGAACAATGACGATCTTGTCATGACTGCAAAGCACCAAAGGATCATCACTGGTGTCGCTCACGTGAGGAAGTGTCTCGTAGACCAGAAACTTGTCCCTGACTGCATGGACGTTCCACTCCTTCCTGCTGTGAAGGTGGAGCTCCTGCCTGTACTGCTTGTGACTCATGATCAGATCCACGGAGTTGCTTTCCTTCTTGTAGGCTGTTTAAGTCTTCCTCCCGAGCTGGTGTTGGACTGCTACCATGCTGAATCTATCCAAGCCTACTTGGGGGTCTTTCTGCTGTCTCGGACGATGTGGCGGCCACAGCTTCCTCGTCTTCACATAGAGATCGTTTCCACGGGGCATGTCTGTGATCACCATGAGATAGTTGCCATCGACTCCAAGGATCATGACCATCACCACGTCGTGCCGGAAGCTGGAGATTCTCATGGCCAGCGTAAAGAAATCGAGCGAGAGATATGTGTCATGCTTCATCTTCTTGACAACCATGTCAACGATCTTGGGCTTAAGACTGTCCAGATTCTCTCTTCTCTCTTTCATTGCATCGAAGTCTAGCGTCTGGAACTAAGAACTGGATAGAAACTTGTCAGTTCCCAGTTTAAAAGAAGAACGTATTGGAGGGCTGTGGATTCGGCGGCGAGATAGTGGAAGCTCGGCTTGTTCCTTCCTGCAAGAGGAGCTTCATGAGTTTTGCAAGTCGATTGATAAGTTAGAAGATATCTTACCAATTTGCTGGAGCTGTGGGAGCTCGATCTGCCCTGCCTCCCCAGATTCTCAGCTGTGGATGAGAACGAAGCCCTCCAATACGACGATCATGCAGACGGCACCGCTGGAACATTTGCTTCCACGCACTCATGCATCAATGGTATTGCAAGAGAGGTGAAGCCATCCAGTCCAAGAAATCCCGGGCTAAAGAGCCTGAGCAATCAATCCCGCACTGGATTCTACCGCAGATATGGACAATCACGGCGAGCTGTCGCAATGGGGACCTAGAAAGGGAAGAAAGAATGTACTTTTTTCCTAAGATCTATAAATTAAATGCATGGAAATAAAAAAGATTGAATGTATAGTATAAGAACTAGATGATGAGTGTTGTTGCCCTTCCATTTTCTTCTGTAAAACTATGCTCTAAACAAGACAATTATGACATGCAAACCAAATTCTAATTAATTGAGAGAAAATGTCATTGAGAGAAACACTGTCAACTCCTTGTTCATTTAATTCAAAATATTCATTGTCCATTAAAAAGGAGAAAAAATTATTTTGAAAGAATATTTTATTTTATTGCCCTTGAACAAAAAAAGCTATATGCACTTTTGCCCAACATTTAAAGGGCATTTTTAAAAAACACCCATGTAAAATGGCTCAAAAAGGGCCGAAAGGGCATCAATTTTTTGCCTTTCAGTAATTGCCTTTGGAAATAAATACTAAAAGACAATACCTCATAAGTTTCATGTTTTGGCTTATTATAGAATTTGAAGATTTTGATCTCATCCACTTGATTGATCCAGTTGTTACTGCATGCAATTCTCATCATTAAAATCAAAATTGAAGCCACCCTTTTTTCACATGGTTCTGTCTATTTAGGGTTTAGGGTTTATTCTAGAAAAAAGATAAAGGATTAATCACATGCAGCAAATGAATTTTTTTTTTCTAGGCTTTGAAAGAATAAGTATACATGTAGCACCCAACAACTAGATGCATTAAACCACAATGCAATGGATGCAAATGGATTTCTTGTCTTTGGTCTAGTAAAGTTCAACAGGCAAAAGTAATTTTCACATTGGCAAAAGAGAGGGACTCCAAGATTAAAATCAGGACAAGGAAATCAATTTGTATATTGTAAATGCCTCCAGCTGAGCCCACAAATGTGTATATATAATCAAAAGAGTTCCCTTGTTGTGCATAAGCTGTTCCAAAATCATTCAATATGTGATATTTCAATACGTATGGTATTACCCATGTTGAGGCCCCGGGAATCCAAGCCAGAAATTTGAATCGCGGCATCACCTTGTCAAATGCAGACGTGGCACTCACATTGGTCGGAGCCCATTAAAGGATTGAATTTATAGACGGGCTAGAAACTCTGCCACGCTCGGTTGTTCTCTCGCTGCCTTTGCGAGTTCTTGGTTCTCTGCCGGGGATCCTCCCTCGAGGAAAACACCCATGATTCGATCGTCTCTTGCCCGGCTCGATTTCATGAGCACTCTCCGTTTGAACGCTCGACTTGCAAATCTTCGATAGAGCAGCTAGGCAGAATTGCGGTCGAGCTCCCAACGCAAGATCTTTCGTGCAATCTCTCGCTGCTCCTAAATCTCGATCTGTTCTTCAAGGTTTGGAGGATTTTCTAGCGGTGCCATAGGCCGGAGGACGAAACCACTAGCTGTGGAGAAGCCGGAAAGCTCTAGAAACTAAACCCGAGACCAAGATCGATCGATCGGATAGCACATTGCTGTGACAGCGCTGTGAGCTGCTACCCTAGTGCTCCCAGCCTGGCCACGTTGAAAGAAGCGCCATGGCCGAGCAGCCCCGCCATGGTCTATTATGACGTGGCATGCCGCTAACCAACGTGGAAATTCCGGCCACGTCGCCCTAATTAGGGCGCCACATCCGATCAAAATACTGATGGGACACCTCTCTGGAAGTATATGATTTGTTTCACCACAGAGAGTCAGGCTAGGTGGCCCCCGATCAGTACAATCCATACGCAACTTTCAAGTCCGGAAAAAACGTGAGATTTTTGTAGAGATCGATCGCATGCCAAGTCATCACATAGATAAGACTCTGTCTGACTATAAATCCAAACAGCCCGAGGTTCAGCACCACAACAACATGGCAGCTTCATTCTTGTTCCTCACTATCCTAAGCTTTCAGCTACTTCTGATATCTGCAGGTTGATCTCCAAGTTTTGATTCTTTCTTTCAGGACTGACTTCTTGAATGCCTTGTCAAGATGATTTTGCAGCCAGCGGCCATCGTCTCCAGGTTTGTAGTGATGCTGTTGTCACTCTGGACGAATGCTCCAATTGCTGTACGCTTGAGCCTGGATGCATATATCTCGAGCCTGGAACTGGCAGTCCAGTTTGTCTTGGTGGCACCTCCCCTGCTCGTGCTTGCCTCCCAATTTGTCTTCCACCAAAAATCAAAGTCTGCCCATCCCGATGGACTAACCAAATTCCAATTTCTGTGCTCCCACCGGGTAAGGAGCCTTCGAATGGCTGTCATCTCTACAATTTAAAGACTGGTGCACCACTGCCAAATGGTGATGACAACTCCTGCTTGAAGGATGCCGTGGAGATTTGTGGAGGCACTGTCCATCCTTGGAAGCCAGGCAGCTGCGCTACTTGTTGCAGCATTCCTCAAGGTTGCTTGGACTTGGGGCATGGCAAATCGATATGCGTCTCAGGACCTGATAAAACTTGCACGTTCAAATGTGGCTCTGCTTCCTATGTCTGCCCAGGTCCAAAAAGTGTTGCGCTCGACTTCAACTCTTGCCACACTTGCAGGAAGCCACTCAAGGAAGGTTGCAAGCTCTACAACCGTCAGGGGCACCAGCTGTGCGTCAAGGAGGATGATCTACTCCAGCTTGTCTAGAAGATGATGCTGTATTTATATAAAATAAACAGCTCTGGGCATGGTTGTTTAAATAATGGGTACTTGAAATGTATATATTTATTATATATATATAAAGTTTGACAACGCAACTTGTTGTCTGCAATCTCTTTGTAGTCTTGCACTTTCAAAGAAGTTCCAAACAAACCATAATGTTTACTTTCCCAATATTCTATGTTATAGATCTCAATCATACATCACAATGCATTGGTGTTCAGCTCATCAGCTTCCTCTGAGTTGAAACAACATAAGGCTCGCTCTTGCCATATCACATCCATAAGTGCTAATTTGCAGCCTAAGAAAATTCCTAAATACCTGAACTTAAGAAAAAATAAAGCAAAGCAAAAGGCTAGATCCAACGAATCTTGGTCCTTTTTACCATCCCACTAATGCTCTAATTACATAGTAATTCTAAGCATCCATGGTGAGCTCTATAGCAACTTGCTTCTCCCACAGCCAGTCTCTAAACAAGTTCCCCTCGCACATAAATCTCCCCATGGAGATGAAAGGCTCAAACGGCGAGTCTAGAGCCACCAGCGTCCTGTTCACCGCATGGGTCACCTCCTTGCTCTTGTCCGACGCGTAGCCACACACGATGATCACTCGCTCCGGCCTCTCGAATCCCCGCGCGAGCTTCCGCCTGGACACGATCAATCCACTGGTGAGCGCCACCATCGCAGTCCCGGAGCTCATATCCTGGAGCCAGATAAACCACGCTCCCTGCCAGTCCTCCCAGATCCCTCTCGGGTAGAGCTCTGTGGAGGAGACACCCTCCCACACGTAGAAGGCCTCGCGAGCGTAGCCAAAGCAGTGGAGATGGTTGACGAGAGCGTCCGCCAGCCATCGGCCCCAGCGAGGAGGCTTGTCCGTCCTCAGCTTGCGGAAAAACTCCCTCGAGTAGCTCTTGAGCTCTTTGATCGCGCGGAGGCCTTGCAGGATCTCGTTCAGGAACTCGTCCACACCGGGATGATCATCTCCTCCTCCTCCTCCTCCTGCTGCTGCTGCTGGTTTCGAGGACGACTTCATCATCTCTCTCACTGCTCTCGAGTCCGCCACCTTGACGCTGCTCGTGTAGTGGCCCAGGAGGATCGTGTACGTTTGCAGCGTCGGCTCCACGCCTCTCTCCGGCATGACTTTGGTGAGGATGAACTTAGCCGGTTCCACTTCTCGGGCTTTGAGGTAGCCATCGATGAGCGCGTTGCACATCTCGATGCTTGGACCGGCCTTCGTCTTGCAGGCTTTGTTGAACCATCGCCGGGCTTGCAGCATAGCTCCGGCTCTCGCCCACGAACTTATGAGCGTGCAGTACGTGAATCGATCTGGAGCGAGGCCGGCCTTTCGTATATCACCCAGGATGTTCTGCGCATGGCCGGGGAAGCCGCTGGAACCGTAACTCAGTATCACGTTGTTGTAGACGATCAAGTTTGGCTCTAGGCCGGAGCGGAGGTAGTCTGCGTAGAGCTCTGCCGCTGCTTTCGAGTCTCGAGCCTTGGCGTACATGTGGATGAGGATGGCGTACGTTGCAGAGGAGAATGGAATCCCCCAGGCTTTCATCTGGTTGGCAGCTTCCCTGGCGTTTGCGAAGTCCCGCTGCTTGCAGAAGTTGTGGATCATTGTGTTGAACGTCTGCGCGTCGGCATTGCGGGGGGAGGCTCTCAAGTCGAGGAAGATCCGTTGGAGCTCCTTCCGGGAGCCGAACTTGCCGCACCAGTCGATGAGGAGGCCGAAGGTGCAATTGTCCGGGTGACAGCCAAAGTATGGCATCTTCCTGTAGAGGTCGAGAGCTTCCTGGATCCGGTTCACTCTTGTGTAGCAGCGGATCATGTTGTTCACTGCAAACGTGTCAAGGCGAAGCCCGAGCTCCTGGATCTCAACAAAAAGTGCCTCGGCCATGAGATAGTTCCCGTCATCTCCCAAGATCATGATCATCGTCGAGTAGTTTACCAAGTCGTGCTTGAAGCCTGGGATCGTCTTGGCCCACGTAAAGAGCTTGAGCGAGAGAGATGCGTCGTGCTTGATCTTCTTGAGAACCACGCAGACCTGGTGGGGGTGCGTTATCCCACGCTTGAGCCTGTCCAGCTTCTCAACCATCTCGGAGCTCCAGCTCGCTCCTCCTTCCTTCACAGTCTCGTACAAGGCATCGAAGACTAGCGCTCCTTTGCCTGGAACTAAACCCGGCAGCGCCACCTTACTGCTCGGCACCATATAGTTCCCCGGCAGAGCGATCGTTCCCTCTTTGCCTTCTTCTGGCAAGCTCCACACTGGAAACGAGTTCCACGACGAGGAAACATTCGTCGCCCGGTTGTCCATTGTTACTGACAGAGGGCGACCAATGACGAACTTGTCGCGACCACAAAGCACCGGAGGATCATCACCAGTGTCGGTCGCGGGAGGAAGTGTCTCGTAGACCAGAAACTTGTCCCCGACTGCATGGACATTCCACTGCTTCTGTCCCCTGTGAAGATGGAGCTCGCGCCTGTATTGCTTGTGACCCAGAATCGGACCCACGTAGTTGCCTTCCTGCTCCTCGGCTATGTAAGGCTTCTTCCCGAGCTGGTGTTGGAGTGCTACCCACTGCCCACTGATTCTATCCAAGCCTGCTTGAGGGTCTGCGCGAACAAAGCGTTCCTGCTCTCGACTTAGTCGCGGACGAGGCGGCGGCCTCAGCTTCCTACCATACTTCGTCTTCACGTAGAGATCGTCGTCACGGCACAGGTCTCTGATCGCAGCAATCTGTTCCTTCGTCCAGTAGAAGCGAGGAAGGGGCTGAAACTTGGCACCCATCTCTGTTGCTAGCTAGCTAAACCCCGAAAAACTTACCTTTATGAGAAAGCTCATCTTTCGATTAAAGAATGTTCCTTCTCTGCTAGAAAATACAAAGGTTCAGAATCCGGACATGCAAGAGAAAGTACTTACAAAGAATCTATAGGCAAGCGTTGGCCTGTAGTCGCAAGAGCCGCGATTCAGCAGCAGCAGCAGCAGCTTGAGCCGGAGTTAAATCTCGGAAAGTATCACGAGTAGAACCACTGGGGGTGTTTGAAGTAGCTGTGTTCTCTTTCGGTTCGTCCCAAGCTAGTAAGCTGTTCATGTCATTCGCTGAAAGAGGCTGCTCTTTTTGTTTCATTGGAAGGAGGTTCGTCTTCTGCTGGCTCATTTTGTAGATGTTCTCCTCCACAGTGTTACGTATCTGGAAATGTCGTCAGTAATTGGAAAACAGAAGAAACGTACGTAACTTACAATGAATCTATGTACAAGTGTCTTTAGACGTTGGCCAATCCGGTGGACTCGATTGATAGCCTGAGCTTCTACTGCCGGATTGAGCAAAGGCTCCACCAAAATAACGTGTTGGGCCTCTATTAAGTTCAGGCCATTGGCACCATGTTGTATGGGCAGTAACATGACTTGAATGTTCTCCTTCTTAAATTCCAAGATGGAAGAACCCATTTGTCTGTGAAAAACACAAAACGAGCAAATGAGTAAAAGTAAAACAGATTATCGATGTTACCTGCGCTGCTTTAATCGAACCCAGCTGAGCTTGTTGCTCTTCAGTGCGTGTTCTAACAAGTCCAGCACTTCTTGCCACGTCGAGAACACAAGAATTTTCACAAACGGATCGTCTTCTTTCAGACTAAGAATTCTCCTGACGACAGCTTCAATCTTCAAAGTTGCAAAAGAATTAAAATAAACAGCAGACGACAAAGCCAGATTACCTTTGTTCCGTACGACCCTGCCACGGTTATAGATTTTTCTTCGTCCTCTTCTTCTTCCTGGAGGTTTTCCGCAATTTTTGAAGAAGCCCCTTCAGCATTGGCATAAGCAATATTAGAGACATAAGTCTGTTGTCTGCACGTTGGGCATGCAATGCGCTTGAAATCAGCACCGTTCGCTGGTGCTTTCTGGCGGTTCACAATAAGATTCAAACCTGCGAAATAAAATGAAGATTTGCTCAGGAAACCAACAAAGTAAGACACCGAAAACTTACACTTGCCACAAAGCAAATGGCCGCACGGAAGGACCATTGCTCCAGATTCTAAGGCATCGTGGCAAACTGGGCAAATTTCTCCTTCCAAACTGTTATGCCCCTCGTCCTTCTTATTCCTTAGACCCTGCAATCCGGAAATGAGAGGAAGCTGCGAATAAAAGAAAACTTAAGCCTAATACCTTCAAGTATCTGAGCTGCCTCTTCACACGAGATAGATTCTCAACAGCAACAAATTTTTCGTTGGTAAGCTCCGCGTTTCTAATTGCTATCTCGTAGCCTTCATCACCAAAAGGATTGCCGTCTGCAGCCTTGGCACCTTGCAAACATAGCCTTGTTGTCGACATGCTCAGCTCGTCCAATGCAGTTAGAACTAATTGTTGTGCTGTTGTCAAGCGTCTCGCCGCTGCATATTCGCTACGCAATGCCTGAATTGACATGGTTTGTCAAACAGACTTACAAATAAGCACAGGAGTGTTTACTTCAAGATACTCGAGATGCTTCTTTGCGGCTTCTATCTCATCCTCAAAGTTCGTTTCCGCCTTCATGTATGCAAGTAAAATCTTTAAAACCATTTCCGTTTCAGAACATCTATGCGTAACCTGTGAAAAGAAATATTTAAGCTCGAAGCAAAGAAAAACAAAAGAAAAAAGTTAGAAAAACAAAAACAAGTTGCCTTACCGCAGCTACTGCTGCTCCTTTTCTCCTGCCTGTGTTCGTCTCAGTTTCCGTGTTTCCCTTAACCAGTGAACGTACTTGAGAAACAAAGGCGTCTTCTGCAGTGACAATGCCATCTAATTCAGCTGCTCGGGACGTCAAGTAAAATAGCCTATTTGCATATTTCTGTATCCACACTGACAATGTCAGAAACCACACAAGAAAGAACTAGATTGTACCTGAAACATGAGATCAATCGCACAATGAACACAAGTTATCCCAGTGTGTCTAGGCTGGCACTGGGAACATTGTCCAGCGCGCTGCACATAATCGGGATTCGGATTCTGCATCCCGCCATCCACTTCAAGTAAGCGACTCAGTACGTGGTCACGAGTCTCATGGAGAGCATCCAGCTCCTGGCTTAGTAAGAACTTGAGGCCGTTAAGGTCGTGGTATCTACATGCTCACTAGATTACCTTCCGAGAAAGATAAGGAAACATACCTTAGAATAAGACTAGAAGCATTCCGACCACCAGCACGATTTACATCTTCCAGCCCGTGCTTTATTCGCTCCAATAGGTGGTCACTTCGTTTGCTCGATGATTGAACCCATGCAAAAGCATCTAGCCACCAGCGGCTCCATCTTGAAGATTTATCATCAGACTGAGCAGAAGCAATCTGCAGGATAAAGAAGGGCAACATGAAAAAAAACATTGAAAAGAAATCAATAATACCTCTTTGTGTGCAGCGTGAAAGTCTTGCTGAGCCGCAGCAAGATTTGCATACTGGCCACTGACGTACTTCTTTCGTAATTCGTCGCATTGACTGATCAGCATATCATCCCTCAGAGTTCTTGGAATTTTGCTCAATGCGTCATCCTTGCAGTTTCTGAGTGACTCTTCCAAATTGTGTAAAATATGCACTTTCTGAAGCGGATCAACTTCAAAATTAGTCGCATTTTCCTCCGTGGATGCTAGTGCTTCTCGGTAAATGGAGACAGCCATGGGGATGTTTTCCTCGATAATCGCCAGAGCTGCCAGTCCGTTCAACGAAGCAACAAGACCTCGTTGAGCTTCTTCTCCTTCAGTTTTAGCTTTCTCAATTAGGACCTGAAGAAGAAAACAAGTAAATAGCTATAAGAACTCTAACACCAAGGTTCCTTACCTCCAAGACTTCATCCATCGGCAGTGGTGATGCCTGCAACGAGCGTACTCCCGAACTCCCCACTTGAGGATGGCAACAAGCTTGTCGCAGCCTCAACAAGGGGTTCATTAACTTTGAGGCATCCATATGATTTAGAGGTCGACCATCACCTAATGAGTACTTCTCAATAACTTCTCTGGCTCTCTTCACGCATTGCTCGTGTTGTTGCCTATAAAAGTGGTTCTCGACACCCGAAAACTTGAGCCAGGTAATTCGCTCTTCTTGAGGAGGAATATCTAGCTGGTCTATGACATCGATCTTCATAGACCGCCACATAATCTCACGGAAAAAGGAATGAGCAAAGTTAACTGCTCCCATTTTTCCTTTCTGGAGAGCAACGAGTGTTACTTACAATAAAAAGAAAAAAACACACAGTACCTCGTAAGGATGTTTTATGGCTTGCTGCCACCAAGTATGATTGTCAAACGGCTCCGCTTGTAGAAATCTAAGCAAGCCATACAAATCATCCAGCCCCCGTTGAATGGGCGTTCCGCTAACACACCACTTGTTCTCCGCATGCAGCCTCATAGCCATTTCAGTTGCTTTAGCAGTACTAGACTCCACCATCTGTGCTTCGTCCAAGCAAATTCTCCACCACTTCAATCTTGTGAGAGGGGTGGCAATCACGTGGTACCTGAGAATACAAAAAGTTGACCAATCAACATAAAGAAAACAAGAGAAAGCTCATACTTCTTCTCAAACCGTAAAGTTTGTTGGTTCTCTTCTTCAATATCGTGACTTAAATCCGCTCGAAGAACATCATAGGTAGTAATTACCACATCTGCTGCTGCCAAATCGTGTGCTCCCACCTTTCTCAGACCAGAATTTTTTTCTCCCAATGTGATGCAACCCCGTTTCACGCCTTCGTAAACTAGAACTTTCACTGCATCCAGTTTTGTGTGCCTAGAAAAAGACGCAATCAGTATTTTCAAGGAAGAGAAAATATTGCAAAGTACCTGACGATTTCTTCCTGCCACTGCTTCAGTATCGCCGTGGGACAAACTATGAGAGTAGCCCCACACACGCCTTCAACCTCCGTGCTTGCAATCACCTCAAAGCATCCATCGCAAGCAAAAGCGTCGTCATCTTCGTCTGCTCCCTTGCTCTTCCTGGCTTTCTTCTTTTTTGGAGGCGAATAGCCAACGCAAGATGTATGCTGCCAGACATGGCAATGATCGCACTGAACCATCATGCCGCCAGCGTCATCATCGCCGCAGATGCATTCAACTCTCTCGTTCTTACGTTCATCCAGCCTTTGCTGCAGTTTCTCAACCGCAGACTCCCACATTGCAGGTCCTTCGTGTCTGTTTGCTAGAATGCAAGCCAGCACCTCAACAGTTTTTCCAAGCCCCATTTCATCTACAGGTACAAATTAAAATTGTAAGAATATTTCGACAAAAGAATCCAATGTACCAGCTAGTATGCCCCCACGAACGTAGCTACAACAATCTCGAGGCTCGCGAGAAACCATCCCACTGCAAGACAATGAGAAAACAAATTCACTGACCAACAATGCAAAAGAGAGATGGCGTACTTGAAAACGTTGTAGTAGAAAGACTTCTCTTTATCCAAAGACTCCACTAATACCCAAAGCGGGTGCCTCTTTCGCATGACTTCTTCCACAGCCGGGTCGGCTGTTTCTCGCTGAACCATCCAAAACACTGCTTGTTGTTGGTAAGTTCTAAGTTCCGGCAATAGCCCCTCAAGAGCGACGCTCCAGCATGGCTCATCTCTGCAATGATAAGTATCAGCAACAAAAGAATTTCGACGAAGAATCACACCTTTGTCTCTGAACTCCTCGGTATAAGCTCGAAGGATCAAACACCTCATTCTGGCTCTTACTTCTTGTCTCGGGGCCGTAGAAGAAACCGATAGAGAGCTCCGGCCTCAACCAAACGATCAAACTCTGAAGAGATCTTCGCAGCATATGGCTTGATTCCTCTTCACATGCCAGAAATAATCCACTGGTGATAAAAACTCGGACTCTCTCAGCTTCGTACCTTAAGCCTGCGAACCTCTTCTTCACAAGCAACACCAAGCTCGAGTAGATCTCTTGCGCACAATCCAGCTTCCCAGAGATCACACTTTCCTCCTGGAAAACCTCCAGCGACAAATCGTCCACTACTCCCAGCTGACCGAATCTTGAGGCGCTGCTTGAGAACCGGAGCCTCACCCCTGGATTGCCGTCGCTCGAGGATTCCAGCGGGGAGACGGAAATATCCTCCAGGGCAATTTCCCCAATCTCTGCGTCCTTCTCTCTGTCGATCGACACTGACACTACATCCTGCCATTTCTTGCTCACCGATTCCACGGATTTCTTCCGGCGCTTCGTCGGGGGCTCATCGATGGGAGATTTGGATGCCTTGAGAGGCGCGCTCTGCTTGCGCCTCGCCATGTTTCCACGCTACCTATATAGATTATCAAAATTTTAGGGTTCTTCCGGAGATTAGGGTTTAGCTAGGCGCGAACGACCATGGAGGCGCGGAGGGAGCGGCGTGTGGAATCGCTGGGATGGCTCACCGAGTCGTCGGTGATGCCCAAGAAGCAGAAGGTGATCGAGGGCGTGGGGGCGGGCTCCATTGTGGAGCTCCGGGCGCAGCTCTATCAAACCCAGGAAGCAGTCAAGCAGGGCGATTCTACCGTGCTTGTTCGCTCCCGGAAGAAGAGTGATCTCTTCAGCAAGAAGAATCCTGGCGTGGATGATCGCGAGACGAGGTACATTTTTTTTTCTTCCCTGTTTGTAGTTCCTAGTTCACGATTAAAGTTTCCAAAAACTTCTTTAATGCGTAGCTCTTAGCTCCTAGCGTTTAAATTCTTCCTTTTCAATCTTGTCTCCTCGATTTCTCCATGGATGTCCTTTCATGTCTGAGTTTGTTCTCCAGTTCTTGTGACTTCTTCTTTCTCATTTCATACTCGATACTTTCATAACACTCGTATAGTTTTTTATTTCCAGGGACAAGCTCATCTTCAAACAGGAGAGAGATGGCACCGCGAGCTATGAAGCGCTCGAGAAGAAAGCTCAATTGTATGACAAGCTGGTAAGGGGAGAGCTCCCCGACGAGGAAGAAAAGGAGAAGTACAGTGTGGACTTCCTCCGCAAGGGATTCCTGGAAGACGAGAAGGAAGAGATGGAACGTAACAGGAGGGGCGAGACTTCAGCCGACGACGACGAGCCCGAGAGCCTGTCCGACATGAACTTCTTGCCGGGGAAGCCAACTTACGGTCCCAACCACAAGGAACTAGTGAGGTAAGAGCACAAGTTCTTCGTGATCCAGAACTAAAAAAAAATCTCTTTTTTGTTTGCCTTTCGCTACAGGGAAGTGAATCGAGAAACGGTGGAAGCGCGGGAGAAAGCTGCGGAGCTCAAGCAACGAAGGCAGAGCATTGCAGAGAAACAAAGGGCGAGGCTCAGAAAGGCGTTTGTCAAGAAGGAACTCGAGAAGCACAAGTCCAGTGCTGCGAATTCTCACGCCCCACCAGCAGAGCCTCTTCAACAAGAGCAACAAGCGTGAATTCTCGGGAGGCTGAATTCTCCCAGTTGCCATCAGATGATTAGTAAAAGCCTTAAATTCCTAAACTTAATAACAACGATTACAAAGGTGCTGAATCCAGGAAGCTTGCAATCCCAGAAGTGGGCTCCTATACCTCCACCGAGCACAAGATGTTTCACTACATGGGCCGCAAGGTAACGCTGGATGTCATCGAATTCATCTTGGACTCCGATGATCATACGTGGGAGCTGAAAAGCGTTTTCAAGGTTTTGGGAGCGCTTGAGCGGAAGGTTTACGTTGTGTTTGATTTTGGGCACAAGCTCAGCTCTGAAAACACAGGCTGCGAAGCTGAGAGAAAAGCCAGGCTATCTGAAGGCGTTTGCTCTTGGCCTTATTGCCGAACGGACAGAGCTGGCGACTATGAAGCTCAGATCGGAGGAAGTGGCCCGCTGGGTGAATGCTAATCGCTATCGACACCAACTTCTCTCGCAGAGGTTGGAATGCTGAAGAGGCGACGATTCTCGCAATGAAGTTCCTGGAGCCCAGAGTAGAGTTCCTAGACCATGCGATAGATGTCAAGCCGGAGAAGGTTGTGCGGTTCCGGGAAGATTTTCGAAGAAGTTACCCGCCGGTTGCAAGGAGTGGCACCGATCAAGCTTACGCATATGGGAGCGGATGTATATTATGTGTCGCGGGACTGGATTATCCATCTTCCTGCGGGAATTCTTGGGATCTTCCTCTTCGCAGTGCTCCTCTCCGACGGAACACGAGTCGCAGATCCAAACATCGACCTTCCCCGCGTCCCCAAGCGTGATGCACTTTTCGTGGTCCGAGGAGTGGCAAAAGTCGCGCTTTGCTCGTGCCTGTGCCACAAGCCGAGCAGCAGTCTGATCTGGGTAACCCCTTCAGGTCGATCACCTCGAGACTCTCGTGAACGTCTGCAAAGCTCATGACGAGCTGAAGAGGCGATTCTGATGTTTCCGCATGTCCTCATCTTGTCCGTGTGTGTTATCCAGCACCGTAGCGTCTTCCTCGTTTCCTCCCCCTTGAAGAGCTCATTCGCAACTTCTAAAGTGCGACGATGGTGCTTCATGGCCTTGGTAGCGTCCATGATAGAACTTATAGTATACAACTAACAAACTTCTTTGTACGCGTGGCTGTTCAACACTGACAAGTTCTCTACATATATGTTGGTGCCACCATGAAGAACGAATAAACATCTTGAACACTTTCAATGTAACTGTGCTTTTTCGATTCGCTTCTGCCTCTCTCTGCTTCGCTTCCGTAATATGTCTGAGAACATATCGCGAGGCACGTCCATGGACACCATTACCATAGGAATTCGGACTTTCAATGTTGCTGTGCGAGATGAGGCTTGTCACGCACTGTCGAAATGTATATGTTGATCTGATTGGGATGAAAACGAAAAGATGGCACTTCGACATGAACTTCTTGCCAGCAACCACAAGGAGCGAGTGAGGTAAGACCACAAGTTCTTCATGATTCAGAACTTAAAAGAAGTAAACCGAACGGCCGAGGCGTTTGTCAAGAAGGAACCCGAGCAAAAATGCAGTGCTGGAAATCCTCACGGCCCTCCTGCGGAGCCTCTTCAATCCACCTAAAAAAGGCCCGTCTTCTTGACTATCAAAAAGAGGGATTGAGTCACGAGGCAATCATATTTCAAGAGATTCTGTAATAGGTGCAGAAACTATAACAACGGCATTCCTCCAGTCTGGTGAAGCATGGCATCTATTTCATCGCCATCTTCCATTTCCAACTACAAAGAACAATCAAGAAAAAAAAAAGAAAAGGAAAAGAAGAAACGCTACCTCCTCTGGTGTTTGATCCTCACGGAGCCTTTTGCCATCTAGAAGAAACGCTATCGAGTCCGGTGCCACCGACATTCGCTCGCAATAGGCCTTCATAAGCTTCGCCAACCGCGTGTTACGCCTGATCGAGAAGCAAATCTCGTTTCCATCCTACAAGATCATCAAACAAGCAAGAGAAACCAAGAGATCCAACCCCTGCCAGTGAAATCAATGGCTTCTTTTACCTGGCTCTTCACTTTGAGATTCATGTGATCGCCAGGCTTTTTCTCTGGCTTCACGTCCGGCGTCTCGCTCGAGCCCTCCATTAGAGAGAAAAAAAACCCTGATTTTCTTTCTTTTTATTTACATACAAGAAGGAAAAGTATAACTACGATGCCGTTGATTCTTTGTTAGATTTCTCTGCTTTGAATGCCTGATCGCTCTTCTCAAAGATAGTTGCGCGGCGATTGTAATCCTCGGGGGATTTGCTGTTATCCTTTTTCATCACGATCTCTTCCAAGTATCCCAATCGATCAGCAATCTTGGCTGGAACAACCGAAGGCACAAATTCGATCTTTGGTCAAGAAAAACGCTTACCTGGATCTTTTGTTTTCGATCCCTCGTCGCATTTTGATTCGCTATTCCCCAAAGTTTTCTTGGGTTTCTCCTGCTCGTCTGGAATCGCCGTGGCCCAGACTCTCCAGTCTCGTCCGGAGGAACCGGGAAGAAAAGCACTGGCATTCTCTCCGCCGGGGGAAGAATCCGGGGTCTCTGGAGTGCTAAAAACTGGATTTTTACCTCCGTCTGGAAGAGTTTCCTGGAGCAAGTTCTTCAGATTCTCCCCGACTGCCTCCGAGTTCCCTGTAATCGACTCTGCTGCGGCCTGGACTCCACTCCCGCTCGCCGCGAGCTTGTCATTCAAGAGATACTGCTGCTCGATATCGTCCAGATCTTTCTCCTGCCTGGAATCGAATGCCTCGGACCCAACCTTTCCAGACTCTTCCTCGTTGTTTTTATGGTCGGTGCCAGTGAAAGTTTCGAGCACTTCGCTCGCATCACTTCCCCCAGTGAATTCCAAACTCCCGCGAGAAATCCACACTGGACTCTTCTCTTCCCCCTCCGTCTCCACCGATTCATGATTCTTTCCCTCCGCTACACTGCCTCGGACGTCGATTCCACCTCCATCTTCCATACTGTCTCGAGAAGCCAGCGCGTCCGCGTCGTCCAAAGCAGTGCTCTCGCTTTGATTCTACCCAAAGAACAAAGAAATAGAAGAAATGAGAATTCTCCAAGCTCGATCAATCGATCGATCGATCGACGTACCTTGCTATTCGCCCTGACGCAACTCGTTCCGGCACGCGTCCAAAGCGATGGCGCCACAAGTCGCGAGCAGCAGCGCCCACAGAAAACCCTCTTGGATCCTAGCCGCGATCCACTCGATCCAATCCCCGATCCACTCGATCCAATCCCGAATGCGCTCGCAGCAGCACTAGCATTGATCATCGCCATTGTCAGTTGCCCTAAGAAGCTCGATTGGAGCCCTAAAAAACCAGAGGCGCGAAAGTGAGCCTACACGTGGCGATACGTGGCAGCACCACATTAGGTTGAGTGGATAGATTGGATTTGTGTTTAATTAATTGGCTCTATCTCTAATGACTTCTATGTCCATTTCGGTTGGATCGGTTGCTTGAACTTCATAGTGGATTCCATCGAGTTCTCGCCGGATCCTGTCCTTGGAGCTCGCGTAGATCATCTTGTTCTTCACCCTGGAAAGATCTGGGGACCTGAGAAAAAGAAAGATCGCATATAAAGATTCTAAGAGAGAGCTTGAGAAAAGTTTGAGAAAATGCTAGCGAGCGAGGAAGAGATTGAAAGAACTGCGAGGAACTGTCTGACCCAGATCGAAACGAGCAATGGAGCTAAGATCCATCTAGAAGCTCTAGAATCGATCCTTCAAGTTTTAGCTATAGCTAGAGAGAACTTCTAGCGTGAGAGAATTGCGAGAAAGACTGCCTGACCCAAACGAACAATGAAGCTAAGATCCATCTATAAAGCTCTAGAATCTATCCTCCAAGTTCTAGCTGAGAGCTTGAGAAAAGTTTGAGAAAATGCTAGCGAGGAAGAGATTGAAAAGAACTGCGAGCAAAGACTATCTGAGAGAGATATCACTCTATCGAGCACGCTATCAAAGAGGAAAGGAATGGAGACATACCATGCAATGAAAAAAATCTTGCTCTTTTGGCACAAATCCTCCGTCACGAAATCGAAATCGAAGACCGCGTACCGGCAATCGCTCTCTGGCAAGCACGCTGCGAAATCATCGTAGCTCTCGGCAGGAGCGCCCGTCTTCTCCACCACGACCTCGTTGGTGGCGTCGTCGATCTTGAAGATGAGGTAGCGGTACGCCTTCTTCCTCTGGAGCTCCAGGAATTTGTTCTTGCACTCGCCACTCACGGCCATTCCAGAGCCTGCATTTCCCTTCAAGAACACGAAATCCAGCTAAGCAAACCCCGATATTTCGCGAGATCCACACCATACCAGGCCAGCGCTGAGCGATCGCCTCCAAGAAGCCATAGGATTCACCTCAAAATCTCTGCAACAAAAGAGAAGAAATGCTGGAGATCCCTCCAGACCTAGCTGCGATGATCTTATTCCGGGACGCCGGCCCCGAAATTCGACGCGCTTCGCGAAAGTGTTGGCATCGACTAGCTAAAGCGATCGAATATTCGTACTGATTAAAGTGATCAAAACTTTTCCCTTTTACTTTACTCGCTAATCGAATATTCTTATTATAAAGATTTGAACCCAGCACCTTTCTCTTACTTAACCAGATGAGCTATGAGATAAAAATTACTTTTACAGGAATCAATTAATTGCACTTTAAATTTCTTTTAATATGTTATTATAACGTATTCATACTGGTTAATCTACCTAAAACCATTCCACATTACTTTAGTAATATACTACACTAAGACACTTTTTTAAATTTCCTTTAATCCATCATTGTAATACTGAGATTGGATTTAATGATGGATTAAAGGAAATCTGAACTGCACTTAATTGAAAGCTCTTACGCAAGAATGGTTTGCACGAATCCATTTCTTTCCGCACATGTAGCAAAACTCATAGTCGCATCTGCAAGAAAGTTTTTTTAAAAAGGCTCCAAATTTAAAGAGAAAAAGAAAAATTCACATACTTGCATTTAATGTGTTCGCATCCACCGTCACGCTCGATAATCCGCCCACACCTCTCACACTGTGCCCACTGCTTTCTCTTTGCCAGCGTGTGCAGCAGCGCGCCCTCCACGTCACGCAGATGGGCAGGAAGCGCCTGAAACGTGTCGCACGACATGTCCACGTGCCATGCCACGTTGCACCGCAAGCACATCTTATTCTCGCATCTGGAACACGTCACACAGGCCCGAGCAGGCGCGGATGCCGAGCTGAAAGATGACGTGGACTCGGACACCTCCAGCTCCCGCCTGTCCATCATCTCGGAGCAGTCCTTGTACGGACAGTACACTTTATACTCCGCCGGGATGCTCAAGTCCTTGACGCGCTTGGCTAGCATTTCCAAGGTCTTCTCGGACAGCAAACGCCCACACTCTTCGTCGCTGAAACTCACCGCGCAGTTCACCGCGGGGCACCGGATATTCACCTCACCCTGCGTCACTTTCACCGCGGCGTGCCGCTCCACGCAGTGGACGCAGAACCGGTGGTCACACCCCGACACCGTGACCATCTCGCTGGAAAACCGGTTCTCGGCGCAGATGGTACACACCTCGGTGACGTCCGCGGCCGGCACGGGCAGCATATGCTCTCCCACGGGTGGCGCATATTCCCCGCCGTACCGTGCGTCCAGGTCGTCAAACTCCACCAGCGGCTCGTCCGCGCGCCGGTAGTCCGTGTCCCCCAACACGTTCCAGTGCCGGTGGAGATCCTCCGCGAGCCGTCGGTCGTGGTCCAGCTGGCGCAATCGACGGCTCTCCCTGCGCTGCTCCAGCTCCGCCAGCCGCCGGTCGGCCTCCTCCTGCTGCCACTTGATGACGTCGGCCAAGTATACGCGAAGAACAGCGGCGACGTCGGAATCTAACGATTCCATCCTTGATTCCATGCTGGATGCTGCGTGATCGTCTCCCCCAAATCCCTGCTGCTGCGAGACTTGGATCGCTTCCATCATCTGCAAGCCAAAAGCGAGAATGTCATCCGCCATTGCAATGGGGAGAGAAGAATGAGGAGAACTTTAAAAGATAGCCCTGGACCCAAAGAAGAACGAGAATCTCCAAAAAATAAATCCAAAAAAACGAGATTAAAACAAAAAGGAGTTTCCGACCTGCCGGAATCGAACCAGCGACCTAAGGATGTCTGGATCACTACAGTCCTCCGCTCTACCAACTGAGCTAAGGTCGGATTGCTGAACAAAACCAGTTTTTTTTCCATCTCCAGGTTTAGTCTTACCAATTTTAGCAAAACTTTACCACTGCGTTAAAACTTCTCTACAAAACTTGGTCTCACAGAAAATTTCTATTCATCGGTCACGCAGCCTTCGGAGGCGGACTTCACATTCTTGATGTACTGCAAAGAAATCAAATCCACATTCGTGAAAACTTTGACAGCTTTTTATTTGCTTTGTTCTTACCTTGTATAGCGTTCCACGAGTTGCCTTGAGAGGTGGCGCTGTCCACGCTTTCTTTCGTGCCGCTAGCTCGTCCTCGGCCACGCCGAGATCAATCAGTCGCTTCTCAATGTCAAGAGTGATTCTATCTCCATCTCGGACTAAGGCGATTGGACCCCCAACCTGGAAATCACACAACATGAATTTAACAAATAGAGACGAAATGAGCTCGTTTGTGTGAGTACCTGGGCTTCTGGACAAATGTGTCCAACGACAAAACCATGAGAACCTCCTGAAAATCTCCCATCCGTGAGGAGAGCTACTTCCTGGAAAGAAAGGGAGTGAGGTTATCATGGCAAAACATAGAAAACGAACTTTACACACCTTCCCCAAGCCAGCACCCATGATCGCACTTGTAGGAGTTAGCATCTCAGGCATTCCCGGACCACCTTTGGGACCTTCTCCCCTGATAACAATCACGGCGCCCTGAGTATTTCACCGATCACCAGTGATTATCATATCTTGCTTTGGACAGAGAGAAAAAAGTATACCTTGAAGCTTTGAGGATTCTCAGATAGCGCTGAAAGCATAGCTTCTTCGCCTTCGAAAACCCGAGCAGGACCTGGCAAGCAAAAATCTCGTAATTAGTAAAAAGAACAAACAACAAAATGCATTTCCACCTGAAAAGTAAAGACCCTCTTTCCCAGTGATTTTTGCAACGGAGCCCTCGGGAGCAAGGTTTCCATACAAGATCTGTATGTGGCCAGTCGACTTGATAGGCCGATCCAGTGGATGTATGACATCCTGTGAAATATTGTGTCAAGGAAACACAAGGCTGAATTTAAGTTACCTGTCCCTCGCTCAAGGGCGGGCAGATGGATATATTTTCCGACAAGGTTTTGCCAGTCACTGGACATACCAGAAAAGAGAGAGAGAGAAACAAAAAAAAAACGTTACTTCGCGCAAGATGACTCCATTTCTTGAAGTTACCAGTGATGCAGTCGCCATTGAGGTAGCCCTCCTCAAGCAGATACTTTAAAACGCCAGGCGTTCCACCGATCTGTGACATCGCAATATATTGTGAGTCACCACAAAACTGGGAATTACAGACCTTATGCAAGTCCTCCATTACATACTTCCCGCTGGGTTTAAGATCAGCGATAAACGGAACTTTGTCACTAACTTTCTGAAAGTCGTCCAAGGTCAGTGGTACGTTTACTGACCTGCGTAACTAGCGAAACTCAATAACAACCAGAAAGATCAGATTTTCACTACCTCGCAATTGCGATCAGGTGTAGCACGGCATTTGTCGATCCTCCCAGCGCCATTACGACGACCATGGCATTGTGAAGCGACTCTTTCGTGATTATGTCTTTCGGTTTCAAGTCCATCTTCAGCAGCTCCAGCAAGTGTTTTCCCACCAGTCGGCATTCTTGTAGCTTCAGAGGGTCTTCAGCTGGAATGGAAGAACTGCATTTACAAAAGAAAAGACAAATAAATAATATCGGAAAACACGTAAAAGACTAAGAGAGAGACCTGTAAGGAAGGGACATGCCTAAGGCTTCAATGGCGCTGGCCATGGTATTTGCCGTGTACATTCCACCACAAGCTCCAGCACCTGGACATGAATGTTGCAAAACTTTCAGTCGCTGCTCGTCAGAAATGTGACCACCAACATATTCTCCGTAGCTCTGTACGTTAAGAAAAATAAACCGAGAAGACAATGAAAACACAGCATAGGCTTCGTTTACGCGACCACCATGAGAAAAACAAAGAACCAGAAATACCTGGAAAGCTGACACTATATCGTACGTATGCCCGTTCACGATTCCTGGCTGAACCAACACTTTCAGCAAGCACGAACAAAAGAAACCAAAAACAAAGAGAAAACTTACTTTGATAGTTCCTCCGTAAACCATAATACTTGGTCGATTCAGCCTTCCCATTGCAATGAGAGTTCCTGGCATCTAAAAGCACAAAGAAAGAATGAGAAAACAAAAAAGAAACAAGAAAGACAAAGGAGAGCATAGAGAAGTTTTCGAAAGAGCTTGCTCGATCACCTACATTCTTATCGCAGCCTGGAATGGAGACATTTGCATCGTACCACTGTCCACCCATGACGGTCTCGATGCTATCAGCTATCAAATCCCGCGACTGCAAGCTATAGCACATCCCCTCGGTGCCCATCGAGATGGCATCGCTCACTCCCACGGTGTTGAAACGAAATCCCACCATGCCAGCCTCACGCACGCCCTCCTTGACAGCCTCGGAGAGCTTGAGCAAATGCATATTGCAAGTATTGCCCTCGTACCACACCGAGGAGATCCCGACCTGCGCCTTGGACATGTCCTCGTCGCGCAGCCCCACGCCATAGAGCACGGCCTGCGACGCGCCCTGGGATTTGGGCTGCGTCACGCGGCTGCTGTAGCGATTCAACACGATCGCGTGCTCGCCGGCGCCCTGCTGCCGCGATGGAGCGGCGATTTCTGTGGGGGAGGAGCTCACCGATGCCCTGGCGATGGAGGACGGCGCCGCATTCTTGCGAGGGATTGGCCGCGCCGGGCCGAGAGCGCTCCCCAGTAGCTGTGCCATTTTCTCCCCAGGATTTAGGGTTTTGGACCCTTTAGGGTTTATCTCTCGTAACCCTTTAAGAAATAATATATAGTTATAGTCATTAGTAATTAATTATACGTATAATAATTACAGTTATTATTAGTTAATTAAAATTATATTTAAATTTATATCATGACAACTGTGTATGAATGACATGATCGATCAAAACGTCCAGCTCCAGGTAATTCTTTCCTCCTACTTTCTTTTCAAAAGAAAAAGGTGGCGAACATTCCAAACTTTCTCCATGTCCTTCGTACTTGGGTACTGTATGGTCGGCAACTGCATTGACTAAGTTTTTCCATATTGATATACGGCAGCGATGACGTGGTCTTCTGGAACGCGTCTAACAGACAAGACAAGCTTTTGAAAGCCGCGACGATCTATAACTCTAAAGCGATGAATCCAAAAGAAACCTTTTGACCAAAGGGAGAAGTCTAGCAATCTAGCTCACACTGCAGGCTTCTTACACTGGAAAGTATACAGATAAATAGACAATCACGACGTGTATAGGACGCTCTCTTTACTTCTCCTTGCTTTGCAATGAGGAGGCCTCCTCGCCGGAACAAAGAGGGACTCACGAAAGGCCCCTGGCAGCCCGAGGAAGACGAGAAGCTCGTCGCTTACATTCGGAAACACGGTCACGAGAATTGGAGAGCGCTACCGGAGAAAGCAGGTGAATCGATTTCTCACATCTTCGTCTCATAGTTTCTCTTGGATCCTGCGAGCAGGACTTAATCGCTGCGGCAAGAGTTGCAGGCTGCGATGGACGAATTATCTCCGGCCGGATATAAAACGAGGCGGGATCACAGCCCAAGAAGAGGTTCTCATCATCTGGCTGCATTCAATCCTGGGAAACCGGTAAGAGTTTGTAGAGTTTTACCTCTAAGCTCTTGCGTTTCTCACTTTTCAGGTGGTCCGTGATCGCATCGCACATTCCTGGACGAACTGACAACGAGATTAAAAACCACTGGAACACACACCTCAAGAAGCAATTGTTACAGATGGGGATTGATCCATTGACTCACAGATCCTGTGGTTCTGTTCTTCCTGATGGCAGCTATTTCCACCTCGACGCTCGCTTCAATCCTGAGGATTTATCAGGTTACCAGGTGCGTCACCTTTCAGCAATGGATGGATCTTTCTCATCGTCCGAGAGAGGAGGTACTAAACGAATGTTGGAAACGATGGAATCCAGCGAGTTTTGGACGACCATTTTAAAGGCTGTTGGAATGTGACACTGTATTCTCGGAATGATCTGACCTTCTGGAGAAGAAATAAGAAGCGTCAGTAATCATACGAATAAAACTCGCTTACCATCGTGCTACTTCCAGTTGAGAACAAATGCATACCCTCCAAGCTTTACCACTGTAATCTCTCCGGGCTAGATCTTGTAAGAAACGTCTCAAGCGGTTCTCAGCACGGATACATTTCGTTGATTGATGCTCCCACAGCGGATCCTTCATTGGAAGCTTGTCTCTCATGGAAATCCTTTCCTTGAGACCTGAAACACGAAAGAAACGTATTTAGACTTTATCACAAAGACAAACTCACCTCTCTGTCAAACATCTCGTATGGCAAACAATGGATGTCATTCTGAATGTTCAAGTTTCCGGACATGAGGCCATCAAACCATCTGTTTTATAGATTTCTTTTCCAACTAACTCATTCTAACCATAGTTCTTCCTCTCTCTCAACAATAGTGGCAACTACTACAGTAAGTTGGATAAGCTCATGGTGCATTCTTCCATCTAAGAAAAATCATACCAGGCTTTCAAAAAGGTGATGCGTACCTCCTTGTCTCTAATTCCTCCAATCCTGTTGATAGCGGGGTCTTCGCGTTGCAGACTGTGCAAAATATACTCCACCAGCTACATTTACATAAGAACATCTATCATCCATCGCAAGAAAGAACGAGCTCTCACCCAAGTAGTCGTAGAGTCTTTGCTTTCCAACTAAAATTCCATCTTCTGGAAGAAGGAACAAAACGACCATTTTTTTAGATAGATTGTGACGATCGAAGGGAGAAGAACTACCTGGAGCGTCTTTACAGAATCATGGCATTCGTCCGGTAAGCATCCCCATCTGCGAAACAAAGAACGAAAAAGAAAGGGAAAAACAGAAGAAAAAATGGAACGTCCGGTAAGCATCCCCATCTGCGAAACAAAGAACGAAAAAGAAAGGGAAAAACAGAAGAAAAAATGGAACCAAAGAAACAAAGAAACAAGGAAAAAAAATGGAAGGGAACAAAGACCAAGAAAAATCATCCGTTTTGGATGGCCATATCCAAAGACCCAATCATCCAGCGGCTTCTTTGGTGCCAATGGCGGCTTCACGGGAATCCCCGCCGGCTTCACGGGAATCTTCGGCCGCTTGAATCTCTCGAGCAGCGCGGCATACCTCCAATCCAATCCGTCAATGCGCTTCTCCAATCCAGTCGTGGATCGTCCTCCCCCACCCTAGCGCGGGAAAATCACTTGGAGATGTCTTTCAATCCAGCTTCTCACTGCCGCCTGTAAGAGAGAATTTTCAGGATTGGAGAGTTCGATCACACGGTACAAACCAGCGATTGCTGCCAGGCGTCGAGAATGCGCTTCCGTGGTCGCCATAAAGATCTTATTAGGATTCTTCCAAGAATTCTCACGTGTGTTCGTCAATCCCGCGGCGTTGGAGGCCCCGATTCAGCACGCGACTGGCAAAGGCGAGAGAAGTCCTTTCCGAGTTTTCGATTTTGATGGGTATGATTCTGATGGGGCAGAGGAGGCCGAGAGCGATGAATTCTACGAGCTAACTCCGGAAGATTATGCCCGATTGGTGTCCAAGAAAAGAGAAGGTCGGCAGGTTCGATCGTGTTGGTTTCTTCCATATGATCTTTCACTCAAAGTTTCCTTTTTTTGTTTTCCTTCCAGAGAGATTCTTGAAGACAGCAAAAATCCGTGACGCTGAGGCAGCAGCTCGTATTTCCAAGTTTGCTAAGGTAATGAAATTGTCACTCCATGGATCGTCCGACTTACATTCTTTTCTCCTCGCAGGCCACACTTCGTGTCCAGTTCCTGGATAGCATCATCGTTGAGGCCGATTTTAGTCCTCTAGATCTGGTTGTGGAGCTTGTTACAATGCTGGAAAAATTGCTACTAAAGCCAGAGATCTGTGTAAGTTCTCCTTCCAAAACTCTTTTTTTTTTCTAGTTTGCAGATGGTCTTCTGGATCTCATTGTTCTCCGGGACTCAAGTTCATTGGCCTGCTTATGAGCATACAGTGGTGGAATGCAAGTATCTCATGTATGTCTCACTCGAAGCTTTGTTTGATCTTTGATGCATATATAAGTGCAAGTGTTCCCAGTGGAAGAGTGTTCCAAGGAGGATACATCGACGTTGATGGTGAGGTAATCGATCACGGAGGAACTGTCAACGTGAGTTCGTTTTTGTTTTTTTTGTTTGTGCTAGCTGCAAATGCTACCAGCAACCAACATTATCGATATGTATGCCTGAATTATCAACAGGCATGCATACGATCAGTGTACACAGATGTTTTTGGTTCTCCTGGTGCGAATTTGTTGTTTAACGTACTTCTGATGAGCAGCGACTGAAAATTTGCAGCATTCATGTCCAGGTCCTGAGCTTGCGGTGGAATATACATGGCTGGCCAGTGCCAGTGAAGCCTAGGTCCTTCAGTCTCTGTCTCTTCTTGATAGATCTTGTCCATTCCAAAGCATTTGACAGAGTTGCTAATCTCTTGACATGCCATTGTCGTCGTAATGGGATTGGGTTTGATCTGCCAGTGATGATTCCCTACCATTGTGTTGCTTGCCTTCGCCCGGAGCTCACTCTTGTTGTCTTGGTCTTGACCTTTTGTGTTATTCCAAAGAAAGGATTTTAGAAAGCTGCGACATTCACTAGAAAAGTTTTTGTTGCCCAGAAACGTTTGCGTTTGTATTATCTGTTTTTGCACTGGCTAAACATGACAATGACAATATGTTTTATTATCGATCTTTGAATTTCACAAGACAAATGCCATGCTTTACAAAACTTATCACAACAACCCAACTCTCGGGGACATTGTCGAAGTGCTTTGCAACTGTTGCTATTGCCGCCTCATCGTCTTTGCCGTCCTCACCATCCTTGCTGTCCTCACCATTGTCACTATTTTTGCCATCACCGCCCGACTTGCTAGAACTGCCAATGCCAACTGCCAAAGGTTCACCACCAAACTCACCAAAACCGCCAGTGCTAGCCACCAACGGCTCACCACTAAACTCGCCGGAATTGCCAGCACTAACTGCCAAAACCGTCGTGTTACTGATTCCATGTGTCATAGCGTCTTAGGAAGAGCTTCGAAAAGTGATTTTTTGAATTTTTTTTAAAATACTCTTCGAACGTTTGAACGCTTACTTAGTTGATTCAGTCAGAGCGCAAGACCCTGAAAATGCTTTCGATCGCGAATGGAAAAAAATCAAGACTTATATAAACAAGAGGTATCAAAAAACAGTTAGGCCATACATTACATTTGAGGATTCCCACGAAGGCCTCAAATGTAATGTGCCACCATCGGGCTCTGGCTTAACCATTTTCTAATACTTCTTATTTATGTAAATTTTGACTTTCCCCCACTCGCAATCAAAAATGTATTCAGATCACACACTCCAACCAAATCAACTGAATAAGCGTTCAAATATTCAAAGAACATTTAAGAAGTTCAAGAAATTACCTTTTGAAGTTTTTCCCAAAGACACTATAACATCTAGAATCGATGACATGATAGTTTTGGCAGCTAGTGCTAGCAGTTCCAACAAGTCTAGCAGTGAATTGTTGACAGCTGGCATTAACGATTTTGATAAACCTGACAATAAACATTTGGCAACTAGCGTTAACAGTTCTGGCAAGTCTGAGCGATAATTGTGACAATAGCAACAATGGTGAAAACGGCAAGGAGAACATTTGTCTCCAAGGTGTCTCCAATATGGTCATCTTGGAAACAAATAGAGCTCGTTTGTGTGAGTACCTGGGCTTCTGGACAAATGTGTCCAACGACAAAACCATGAGAACCTCCTGAAAGTCTCCCATCCGTGAGGAGAGCTACTTCCTGGAAAGAAAAGGAGTGAGATTTTCATGGCAAAACATAGAAAACGAACTTTACACACCTTCCCCAAGCCAGCACCCATGATCGCACTTGTAGGAGTTAGCATCTCAGGCATTCCCGGACCACCTTTGGGACCTTCTCCCCTGATAACAATCACGGAGCCCTGAGTATTTCACCAATCACCAGTGATTATCATATCTTGCTTTGGACAGAGAGAACAAAGTATACCTTGAAGCTTTGAGGATTCTCAGACAGCGCTGAAAGCATAGCTTCTTCGCCTTCGAAAACCCAAGCAGGACCTGGCAAGCAAAAATCTCGTAATTAGTAAAAAGAACAAACAACAAAATGCATTTCCACCTGAAAAGTAAAGACCCTCTTTCCCGGTGATTTTTGCAACGGAGCCCTCGGGAGCAAGGTTTCCATACAAGATCTGTATGTGGCCAGTCGACTTGATCGGCCGATCTAGAGGATGTATGACATCCTGTGAAATATTGTGTCAAGGAAACACCAGGCTAAATTTAAGTTACCTGTCCCTCGCTCAGACGGATATATTTTCCGACAAGGTCTTGCCAGTCACTGGACGTACCAGAAAAGAGAGAGAAAAAAAGAAGAAAAACATTACTTTGCGCAAGATGACTCCATTTCTTGAAGTTACCAGTGATGCAGTCGCCATTGAGGTAGCCCTCCTCAAGCAGATACTTCAAAACGCCAGGCGTTCCACCGATCTGTGACATCGCAATATATTGTGAGTCACCACAAAACTGGGAATTACAGACCTTATGCAAGTCCTCCATTACATACTTCCCGCTGGGTTTAAGATCAGCGATAAACGGAACTTCGTCACTAACTTTCTGAAAGTCGTCCAAGGTCAGTGGTACGTTTACTGACCTGCGTAACTAGCGAAACTAGAAAGATCAGATTTTCACTACCTCGCAATTGCGATCAGGTGTAGCACGGCATTTGTCGATCCTCCCAGCGCCATTACGACGACCATGGCATTGTGAAGCGACTCTTTCGTGATTATGTCTTTCGGTTTCAAGTCCATCTTCAGCAGCTCCAGCAAGTGTTTTCCCACCAGTCGGCATTCTTGTAGCTTCAGAGGGTCTTCAGCTGGAATGGAAGAACTGCATTTACAAAAGAAAAAACAAATAAATAATATCGGAAAACACGTAAAAGACTAAGAGAGAGACCTGTAAGGAAGGGACATGCCTAAGGCTTCAATGGCGCTGGCCATGGTATTTGCCGTGTACATTCCACCACAAGATCCAGCACCTGGACATGAATGTTGCAAAACTTTCAGTCGCTGCTCGTCAGAAATGTGACCACCAACATATTCTCCGTAGCTCTGTACGTTGAGAAAAACAAACCGAGAAGACAACGAAAACACAGCATAGGCTTCGTTTACGGGACCACCAAGAGGAAAAAAAAAAACCAGAAATACCTGGAAAGCTGACACTATATCGTACGTATGCCCGTTCACGATTCCTGGCTGAACCAACACTTTCAGCAAGCGCGAACAAAAGAAACCAAAACGATAAGAGAAAGCTTACTTTGATAGTTCCTCCGTAAACCATAATACTTGGTCGATTCAGCCTTCCCATCGCAATGAGAGTTCCTGGCATCGAAAAGAACAAAAAAAGAATAACAGAAGGAAAAAAAAAGAGAGGAGAAGTTAGAGCTTAGCTCGATCACCTACATTCTTATCGCAGCCTGGAATGGAGACATTTACATCGTACCACTGTCCACCCATGACGGTCTCGATGCTATCAGCTATCACATCCCGCGACTGCAAGCTATAGCACATCCCCTCGGTGCCCATCGATATGGCATCGCTCACCCCCACGGTGTTGAATCGAAATCCCACCATCCCAGCCTCGCGCACGCCCTCCTTGACAGCCTCGAAGAGCTTGAGCAAATGCATATTGCAAGTGTTGCCCTCGTACCACACCGAGGAGATCCCGACCTGCGCCTTGGCCATGTCCTCGTCGCGCAGCCCCACGCCATAGAGCACGGCCTGCGACGCGCCCTGGGATTTGGGCTGCGTCACGCGGCTGCTGTAGCGATTCAACATGATCGCGTGCTCGCCGGCGCCCTGCTGCCGCGATGGAGCGGCGATCTCTGTGGGGGAGGAGCTCACCGATGCCCTGGCGATGGAGGACGGCGCCGCATTCTTGCGAGGGATTGGCCGCGCCGGGCCGAGAGCGCTCCCCAGTAGCTGTGCCATTTTCTCCCCAGGATTTAGGGTTTTGGACCCTTTAGGGTTTATCTCTCGTAACCCTTTAAGAAATAATATGTCATTAGTAATTAATTATACGTATAATAATTACAGTTATTATTAGTTAATTAAAATTATATTTAAATTTATATCATGACAACTGTGTATGAATGACATGATCGATCAAAACGTCCAGCTCCAGGTAATTCTTTCCTCCTACTTTCTTTTCAAAAGAAAAAGGTGGCGAACATTCCAAACTTTCTCCATGTCCTTCGTACTTGGGTACTGTATGGTCGGCAACTGCATTGACTAAGTTTTTCCATATTGATATACGGCAGCGATGACGTGGTCTTCTGGAACGCGTCTAACAGACAAGACAAGCTTTTGAAAGCCGCGACGATCTATAACTCTAAAGCGATGAATCCAAAAGAAACCTTTTGACCAAAGGAGAAGTCTAGCAATCTAGCTCACACTCCAGGCTTCTTACATTGGAAAAGTGTGCAAATAAATACACAATCACAGCGTGTATAGAACGCTCTCTTTACTTCTCCTTGCTTTGCAATGGGGAGGCCTCCTCGCCGGAACAAAGAGGGACTCACGAAAGGCCCCTGGCAGCCCGAGGAAGACGAGAAGCTCGTCGCTTACATTCGGAAACACGGTCACGAGAATTGGAGAGCGCTACCGGAGAAAGCAGGTGAATCGATTTCTCACGTCTTCGTCTCATAGTTTCTCTTGGATCTTGCGAGCAGGACTTAATCGCTGCGGCAAGAGTTGCAGGCTGCGATGGACGAATTATCTCCGGCCGGATATAAAACGAGGCGGGATCACAGCCCAAGAAGAGGTTCTCATCATCTGGCTGCATTCAATCCTGGGTAACCGGTAAGAGTTTGTAGAGTTTTACCTCTAAGTTCTTGCGTTTCTCACTTTTCAGGTGGTCCGTGATCGCATCGCACATTCCTGGACGAACTGACAACGAGATTAAAAACCACTGGAACACACACCTCAAGAAGCAATTGTTACAGATGGGGATTGATCCATTGACTCACAGATCCTGTGGTTCTGTTCTTCCTGATGGCAGCTATTTCCACCTCGACGCTCGCTTCAATCCTGAGGATTTATCAGGTTACCAGGTGCGTCACCTTTCAGCAATGGATGGATCTTTTTCATCGTCCGAGAGAGGAGGTACTAAACGAATGTTAGAAACGATGGAATCCAGCGAGTTTTGGACGACCATTTTAAAAGCTGTTGGAATGTGACACTGTATTCTCGGAATGATCTGACCTTCTAAAGAAGAAATAAGAAGCGTCAGTAATCATACGAATAAAACTCGCTTACCATCGTGCTACTTCCAGTTGAGAACAAATGCATACACCGGTGTTTGCCTCCTCCAAGCTTTACCACTGTAATCTCTCCGGGCTAGATCTTGTAAGAAACGTCTCAAGCGGTTCTCGGCACGGATACATTTCGTTGATTGATGCTCCCACAGCGGATCCTTCATTGGAAGCTTGTCTCTCATGGAAATCCTTCCCTTGAGATTCTCTATAAGCCACCAGAGCTCCTGAAACACGAAAGAAACGTATTTAGACTTTATCACAAAGACAAACTCACCTCTCTGTCAAACATCTCGTATGGTAAACAATGGATGTCATTCTGAATGTTCAAGCTCATTCTAACCAAATTCAACTCCTACTACTACCTACTTGGTTCTCATGTAAACTATATATAAAACCACTATCAAGATTATATAGTTCTTCCTCTCTCTCAACAATAGTGGCAACTACTACAGTAAGTTGGATAAGCTCATGGTGCATTCTTCCATCTAAGAAAAATCATACCAGGCTTTCAAAAAGGTGATGCGTACCTCCTTGTCTCTAATTCCTCCAATCCTGTTGATAGCGGGGTCTTCGCGTTGCAGACTGTGCAAAATATACTCCACCAGCTACATTTACATAAGAACATCTATCATCCATCGCAAGAAAGAACGAGCTCTCACCCAAGTAGTCGTAGAGTCTTTGCTTTCCAACTAAAATTCCATCTTCTGGAAGAAGGAACAAAACGACCATTTTTTTAGATAGATTGTGACGATCGAAGGGAGAAAAACTACCTGGAGCGTCTTTACAGAATCATGGCATTCGTCCGGTAAGCATCCCCATCTGCGAAACAAAGAACGAAAAAGAAAGGGAAAAACAGAAGAAAAAATGGAACCAAAGAACCAGGAAAAAAACATGGAAGGGAACAAAGAACAAGAAAAATCAGTCGTTTTGGATAGCCATATGCAAAGACCAACCTCTTCTTGAGCAGCGATTTGCATTTCCTAGTCGGCTCGAAATCCTCCTCAATGTCCCAATCATCCAGCGGCTTCTTTGGTGCCAATGGCGGCTTCACGGGAATCCCGGCCCCAATCTTCGGCCGCTTGAATCTCTCGAGCAGCGCGGCATACCTCCAATCCAATCCGTCAATGCGCTTCTCCAATCCACTCGTGGATCGTCCGCGATCATAAACCCTAGAAATAATTTTCCCCCCACCCTAGCGCGGGAAAATCACTTGGAGATGTCTTTCAATCCAGCTTCTCACTGCCGCCTGTAAGAGAGAATTTTCAGGATTGGAGAGTTCGATCACAAGGTACAAACCAGCGATTGCTGCCAGGCGCCGAGAATGCGCTTCCGTGATCGCCATAAAGACCTTATTAGGGTTCTTCCAAGAATTCTCACGTGTGTTCGCCCCGATTCAGCACGCGACTGGCAAAGGCGAGAGAAGTCCTTTCCGAGTTTTCGATTCTGATGGGTATGATTCTGATGGGGCAGAGGAGGCCGAGAGCGATGAATTCTACGAGCTAACTCCGGAAGGTTATGCTCGATTGGTGTCCAAGAAAAGAGAAGGTCGGCAGGTTCGATCGTGTTGGTTTCTTCCATATGATCTTTCACTCAAAGTTTCCTTTTTTTTGTTTTCCTTCCAGAGAGATTCTTGAAGACAGCAAAAAGCCGTGACGCTGAGGCAGCAGCTCGTAGATCCAAGTTTTCTAAGGTAATGAAATTGTCACTCCATGGATCGTCCGACTTACATTCTTTTCTCCTCGCTCGTGTCCAGTTCCTGGATAGCATCATCGTTGAGGCCGATTTTCGTCCTCTAGATCTGGTTGTGGAGCTTGTTACAATGCTGGAAAAATTGCTACTAAAGCCAGAGATCTGTGTAAGTTCTCCTTCAAAAACTCTTTTTTTTTTGTTCTAGTTCGCAGATGGTCTTCTGGATCTCATTGCTCTCCGGGACTCAAGTTCATTGGCCTGCTTACGAGCATACAGCGGTGGAATGCAAGTATCCCATGTATGTCTCACTCGAAGCTTTGTTTGATCTTTGATGCATATATCGGTGCAAGTGTTCCTAGTGGAAGAGTGTTCCAAGGAGGATACATTGACGTTGATGGTGATGTAATCGATCATGAAGGAACTGTCAACGTGAGTTCATTTTCGTTTTTTTTGTTCATGCTAGCTGCAAATGCTATCAGCAACCAACATTATCAACATGTATGCCTGAATTATCAACAGGCATATGATCAGTGTACACAGATGTTTTTGGTTCTCCTGGTGCGAATTTGTTGTTTAACATACTTCTGACGAGCAGCGACTGAAAATTTGCAGCATTCATGTCCAGGTCCTGAGCTTGCGGTGGAATATACATGGCTGGCCAGTGCCAGTGAAGCCTGGGTCCTTCAGTCTCTGTCTCTTCTCGATAGATCTTGTCCATTCCAAAGCACTTGACGGAGTTGCTAGTCTCTTGACATGCCATTGTCCTCGTAATGGGACTGGGTTTGATCTGCCAGTGACGATTCCCTACCATTGTGTTGCTTGCCTTTGCCCAGAGCTCACTCTCATTGTCCTGGTCTTCACCTTTTGTGTTATTCGATTTTAGAAAGCTGCGACATTTCATTGGAAAAGTTTTTGTTGCCCAGAAATGTTTGGTAGTTTGGCAACGTCTGTGTTATCTGTTTTTGCACTGGCCAAGCATCTAGACATTCTTGAAATGCTTTGCAGCTGTTATTATTAACACCTCATTGTTCTTGCCGTTTTCACCATCCTTGTTGTTTTCGCTATTTTTGGCATCACCCCCCAATTTGCCAGAACCACTAACACTAACCGCCAAAGGCTCACTGCCAGACTTATTAAAACTGCTAATGCCAGTAGTTAATGGCTCACCGTTATACTTGCTGGAACTGTTAGCACCAACTACCAAAATTGTCATCCAGGCACCACAATGTCTTTGGGAAGAGCCTCAAAAGATGATTTTTTAAACTTCTTTTTAAATGATCTTCGAATGTCTGAACACTTACTCAGTTGATTCAGCCGGAGCATGTAATCCCAAAAATACTGTTGATCGTGAATGGGGAAAAATCAAAATTAATATGAACAGAAGGTACCGAAAGATGGTCGAGCTAAAGCCCTATAATGGCCTTATGCATTACATTCGAGGATTTCCACAAAGGCCTCAAATGTAATACACCACCATCAGGTTCTGGCTCAATTTATTTTCCGGTACCTCATATTCACGTAAATTTTGACTTTCCCTCACTCACAATCAAGAATATATTCGAGATCACACACTTTGACTAAATTGACTGAATAAGTATTTAGACGTTCGAAGAGCATTTAAGAAGAAGTTTAAGAAATCACCTTTCAAAGATCTTCCCAAGGACGTTATGGCACATGAAATCGGTGATATGACGATTTTAGCAGCTGGAGCTGGCGGTTCGGACGAGTGTAGCGATGAGCTATTAGCGGCTGGCACTGGCGATTTCAATGAATTTGGCGGTGAGCCTTTGGCAGCTGGTATTGGCAGTTCTGGCAAATCAAGCAGTGATGGCAAAGATAGCGATAATAATGAAGACAACAAGGATAGTGAGGATGGTGGGGATAATGAAGCAGCAATAACAATAGTTGCAAAGCACTTCGAGAATGTTCCTAAGGGCTAGAATTGTTATATGATTAAAAACAAAACAATAAATCTAGAAAGCAAAAAACAAAGAAATGGGAAACAAAGAACAAAGAGTAAAAAAAAAAAAACCTTGTTTACGGCAACAAAGTCGTCATTCTTCAGCTGCTCCAGGAATGCAACCAACTCACATCCTTCCATTGCTCCAGGAATGCAACCAGCTCACATCCTCCCATTGCCTAACATGGTCGCTAGTGGGAAAAAAGTGCTTTGCCTTAGAGAGGGCTGCATCAGGACATCACACACACAAACGAAATCATTGGAGCACAAAACCAATGGAGAAGATAGAATAGAATCTACAAGAGCTTCTACATGCTGCCCCATAATAACACTCACTACCCTAGAAACAAGCAAAGAGACCGAGCGAACGGGGCGAAGTTGTTTATAATTAATGCATGCCACCGCCACGCGGCGCGGCGTCGAGTGGTAGACGTTGCGGTGCGGCGTCGCATGGCCCGGTGCGGTGCGGTGCGGTGCGGCGCCGCGCCAAACTTGCGCATGATTACCGCCGCGCCAGGCGGCCACGCGGAGGGTTCGCTTACCCCCGCGTGGCGTGGTATGCCAGGCATGCTCGCGTGCCAAAATCCGCATCATTTCCGAGTAAAGAGTGGCCGGATTCGAACCAGCGATTTACCACCGCATTAAAACGTCTCTAGTTCAAATCCACAGCGTTCCACGAGTTGCCTTGACAGGCTGGCGCTGTCCACGTGCCGCTAGCTGGCGTATCCTAGCTCGTCCTCGGCCACGCCGAGATCAATCAGTCGCTTCTCAATGTCAAGAGCCCATGGCGATTGGATCCTCAACCTTGAAATCACTCAACATGAATTTCCAGCAGAAACATGACTGGAATCGAATGCCTCGGACCCCGTCGTTTTTCTGGTCGGTGCCAGTGAAAGTTTCGAGCACTTCGCTCGCATCACTTCCCCCAGTGTCTTCCAAACTCCCGCGAGAAATCCACACTGGCCTCTTCTCCTCCCCCTCCGTCTCGACCGATTCGTGATTCTTTTCCCCCGCTACACTGCCCCGGACGTTTCCACCTCCATCTTCCATACTGTCTCGAGAAGCCAGCGCGTCCGGGTCGTCCAGAGCAGTGCTCTCGCTTTGATTCTACCCGAAATAGAAGAAATGAGAATTCTCCAAGCTCGATCAATCGATCGATTGACGTACCTTGCTGTTCGCCCTGACGCAACTCGTTCCAGCACCGACCCAGCGCATCCAGAGCGATGGCGCCACAAGTCGCGAGCAGCAGCGCCCACAGAAAACCCTCTCGCATCCTAGCCCCGATCTCAGTTTCGCTCCACTCGATCCAATCCCGAATGCGCTCGCTTGTCGGTTGCCAGAGATAGCGAGGAATTTGACTGCCTGAACCAAACGAACAATGGAGCTAAGATCCATCTATAAAGCTCTAGAATCTATCCTCCAAGTTCTAGCTGAGAGCTTGAGAAAAGTTTGAGAAAATGCTAGCGAGGAAGAGATTGAAAGGAAGACTATCTGAGAGAGATATCACTCTATCGAGCAAGCTATCAAAGACGAAAGGAATCGAAACATACCATGCAATGAAGAAAATCTTGCTCTTTTGGCACGATCCTCTGTCACGAAATCGAAATCAAAGACAGCATACCGGCGATAGCTCTCTGGCAAGCACGCTGCAAAATCATCGTAGCTCTCGGCAGCTTCTCCACCACGACCTCGTTGGTGGCATCATCGATCTTGAAGATCTGGAGCTCCAGGAATTTGTTCTTGCACTCGCCACTCACGGCCATTCCAAAGCCTGCATTTCCCCTCAAGAACGCGAAATCCAGTTAAGAATACCACGATATTTCGCGAGATCCACACCATACCAGGCCAGCGCTGAGCGATCGCCTCCACAAAAATGCTCAGACCAAGCTGCGATTTCTTATTCCGGGAAACCGGCCCCGGATTTCGATGCGCTTCGCGAAAGCCCACGAAGCGATCGAATATTCGTACTCATTAAAGTGATCAAAACTTTTCCAGTTTACTTTAGACACTTTTATTTCACTGAGATTTGAACCCAGCACCTTTTCTTACTAAATGGGTGCTATAACCAAAAGAGCTATGAAGGTTATATTGAATGTTCGTAAAATTTCAAAAGCTTTCAATTAATTGCAGAAATCCATTTTTTCTTTCAAAGTGAATTGTCTAAAATTCATTATTAACATATATTTTATTAAAATAGACATGCATCAAACTGTCCAGAAGGTGTTAGTTAATTATTCATATAATTTAAACTGTCATTAAGTGAAGTATTGACTGATTTAATGACGGATTAAAGGAAATTTAAACTATACCTAATTGAAAGCTCTTGCTCTACGAATCCATTTCTTTCTGCACATGTAGCAAAACTCGCATCTGCAAGAAAGTTTTTTGACTCAGAGAAAAAGAAAACATTCACATAGTTGCATTTAATGTGTTCGCATCCACTGTCACGCTCGATAATCCGTCCCATCTCTCATACTGGCGCCTCTTTGCCAGCGTTTTCAGCAACCACGCAGAGCTGAAACGTGTGGCACGACATGTGCACGTGCCATGACTGTAACACGTCATACAAGCCCCTGCCGACGCGGATGCCGAGCTGGAAGATGACGTGGACTCGGACACCTCCAGCTCATTATCTCGGAGCAGTCCTTGTACGGACAGTACACTTTATACTCCGTCCGGGATGCTCAAGTCCTTGACGCGCTTGGCCAGCATTTCCAAGGTCTTCTCGGACAGCAAACGCCCACACTCTTCGTCGCTGAAACTCACTGCGCAGTTCACCGCCGGGCACCGGATATTCACCTCACCCTGCGTCACTTTCACCGCGGCGTGCCGCTCCACGAACCGGTGGTCACACCCCGACAACGTGACCATCTCGCTGGGAAACCCGGCGCAGATGGTACACACCTCGGTGACGTACGAACGGCATATTCTATCCCACGTGTTACGCATATTCCCCACCCTCCATGGTCCAGCTGGCGCAATCGACGGCTCTCCAGCTCCGCCAGCCGCCGGTCGGCCTAGTGCAAGCGGCGACGTCGGAATCTACCGATTCCATCCTTGATTCCATGCCAAAAGCGAGCTGAGAAAAAAAACCTCACTTCCAAAAGGAGTTTCCGAGGAATCGAAACAGCGACCTAAGGATGTCTGGAACACGTCTTCCAACTGAGCTAAAGTCGGAGTGCTGAACAAAAATACTGGAAAAACTTTACCGCCAAATACTGGAAAAACTAAAACTTCTCTATAAAAACTTGGTCTCACAGAAAATTTCTGTTCATCGGTCCCTTCGGAGGCGGACTTCACATTCTTGATGTACTGCAAGGAAATCAAATTCACCGTGAAACTTTTGACAGCTTTCTATTAGCTTTGTTCATACCTTGTATAGCGTTCCACGAGTTGCCTTGAGAGGTGGCGCTGTCCACGCTTTCTTTCGTGCCGCTAGCTCGTCCTCGGCCACGCCGAGATCAATCAGTCGCTTCTCATTATCATGACCATCTTCGACTAAGGCGATTGGACCCCCAACCTAGAAATTAGATACCATCCATGATCCCACTTGTAGGTGTTAGCATCTCAGGCATTCCCGGACCACCCTCATAACAATCACGGAGCCCTGAGAATTTCACCGATCACCAGTGACTTATATCTTGCTCTGGACTGAGAGAAAAAAAGCATACCTTGAAGCTTTGAGGATTCTCAGACAGCGCTGAAAGCATAGAGCCATCGGGAGCAAGGTTTCCATACAAGATCTGTATGTGGCCAGTCGACTTGATAGGCCGATCCAGTGGATGTATGACATCCTGTAAAATATTATGTCAAGGAAACACCAGGTTAAACTTTAAGTTACCTGTCCCTCGCTCAAGGGCGGGCAGATGGATATATTTTCCGACAAGGTCTTGCCAGTCATTGGACATACCAGAAAAGAGAGAGAGAGAGAGGGAAGAGAGAGAGAGAGAAAAAAAAAAAACGTTACTTTGCGCAAGATGACTCCATTTCTTGAAGTTACCAGCGATGCAGTCGCCATTGAGGTAGCGCTCCTCAAGCAGATACTTTAAAACGCCAGGCGTTCCACCGATCTGTGACATCGCAATATATTGTGAGTCACCACAAACTGGGAATTACAGACCTTATGCAAGTCCTCCACTCTGGGCTTAAGATCAGCGATAAACGGAACTCTGTTACTAAATTTCTGAAAGTCGTCCAAGGTCAGTGGCACGTTTACTGAAAATTTCTCGTAGATGAATTCTACGAGCTAACTCCGGAAGATTATGCTCGATTGGTGTCCAAGAAAAGAGAAGGTCGGCAGGTTCGATCGTGCTGGTTCTTCCATGTGATCTTGCACTCAAAGTTTCCTTTTATGTTTTTTCTTTTGCCTTCCAGAGAGATTCTTGAAGACAGCAAAAATCCGTGACGCTGAGGCAGCAGCTCGTAGATCCAAGTTTGCTAAGGTACTGAAATTGTCACTCCATGGATCGTCCGACTTACATTCTTTTCTCCTCGCAGGCCACACTTCGTGTCCAGTTCCCGGATAGCATAATCGTTGAGGCCGATTTTAGTCCTCTAGATCTGGTTGTGGAGCTTGTTACAATGCTGGAAACATTGCTGCTAAAACCAGAGATCCCGTTCCATCTGTGTAAGTTCTCCTCCCAAAACTCTTTTTTTGTTCTAGTTCATGCATTTTACACTTCGAAACACAGACACAACGCCTCCCAAGCAAATCCTCAAGGACTACAATGTTACCATGTACGATGCTGGCTTAGTTCCAGGAGCTCTTGTTTATCTATCCTACAACAGTGGTAAGGGTCTCTTTGCACGAAGTTCCAGCGGTTCTAAGGGATCTCTTTTCCTCCAGATTTCCAAGGGCCATATCTTAAGGAGATCGTCCTCGCTTCACAGCATTCAGATGAAGAATCCAAAGACCAAGTTTTAGCTCCACCAGCGGGATCTCCTCCTCGAGTAGCGTCCCCGGAAGAAACACGACCAAGCTCTCGACAAACAGTTCCTGTTGGTAAAGGAAGCAAGCCCAGGCCCAAATGGTTGAAGCTTGGAAAATGAAAAGTTTTGGAAAGTAAAAAAATGGAAAGTTTCGGTGATTTCGTGGAGACACGGGGTTGAGTTGTAAATTGTGGAAAATCAATAAAAATTATATCTTACATTCAAAGACCATGCTTCTAGTAAACCTTTGAAACTATTGCCCTTAGAAACTCGTCTGATTTAAATCTTACAATAATCCTTTATAAATGAAGATGTTATAGAACAACTACAAATAAATATTGAATGCCCGAGTTGTTCCGGTACATCCGGGATCTCAATGCAGCCTCTCAGCCTCTTCACGGAGATCACGGACTTACCGAAACAACTCTGGCACAACGTTTTAAAGCTTTAGAGCGTTGTTTCCAGATCATGTATCTGTAACGTTTTGCTTGAAACAAGTCCAAGATACCGGAAAGAAACGAACCCTGCCCTCCGAAGCCTCCCTCCCTATTCCTCTTGCAGTGGGCATTTTGCCGGTTTTACTATCCTGAGTGAACTGGATAGTGGCAAGATCGTCAGTCAGGTCCTTGGCTTTCTTTCCCGCAATTCTTAGACTTTGGAAGTCACAACCTCAGACAGTGTTACCATTGTCTGGAAAGACTAACCTTCATACGCGTAAATTGTGCATGTATAGCAGGATCCAGCAAAAGACGACGTGACTGAGACCAAACAAAGTTGTAACATCTGGAAGATACGACTACCTGAAGCGTTGGAGGCCTCAACGAAACCTTCAAATCGTAAAGTGCAATCGCATTTTTAACAGAAAATAGAAACATTGAAGAGAGATGCCTTCATTTCTGCAATTTCTTGCTCCTTGTTTGACAATTGGATCAGCATGACAGCTTCCTTGCGCGCCTGGACTATGCACGCTGTTCAGAAAACAAAAAGGAAAAGGAAACTACACAACTCGCAACACCAAACTTGCAAATACCTAGGATCAGCAGAAGCCCTTTCCGTAAGGGTAGGTATGGATATCTTGGTGCACATAGTTGAAGAGGAGGTTTTGACGCGCTTGCCAGCAGTTGTTTTGCACCGCCGCGTCAGGGCCGTGTGCAAACGGTGGAGGGATCTCATAGACTCACCAAGATTTGCAAAGTTCCATTCAGCACACCACTCTATAAAAAAGCAGAGTTGCCCCCCTCGCGTCTTGGGTATAACTCAAAATGGTAAGGAACTCTATAGCTGCAACCCGTTCGTCGCTGGATCTGACGCACAGAAGGATTGGGTCCGTCAGGATGTCTACGGTCACATCAGGGTTGTCAAGGCTTGTGGTGGATTGCTGTTTGGAAAGATGGGCCGTGACTATGTTGCTCTCAATCCGCTCACCCGAGCTCTCAAGGTGCTTCCCCCGCCGCCCCTGGAAGCAGCATATATATCCCCGAATATTCATTGTGCCCTGGTATTGGAACCGTCCATGCAGCGTTACTGGATTTGTATAGCGGGAGATATAGCAAAGCAATTGCATGTATATCACTCAAGATCGGGAGTGTGGGACACGGTGGATTACCTTCCTGGCTGGGGTAATCTCAAATATGGAGTTGGGATGGCTAACAGCAACGCTTATTTTTCTGCTGAACATGACTGTATGTGGGGGATTTTGAGCTTCAACATGGAAGAAATGAGATGGTTTGTTGAGTGGTCATCTTTCAAAGACAATTCCCCTATTCAAATGTGCTGGTCTATATACAAATGGATGGTAACAACAGCAAATCAGTTTTTCATGGTGGCTATGGGAGAAGACCAGATGACGCTGATAAGGTTGGACTGTGCATCAAACGGACATGTTCAGGAGGCAGGCTGTGATTACAATGAGAAACGCTATCCTATCCCTCCAATCTGTTTTTACGAAGGCACCTTCATGATTGCGGACGAGGAAAAGCTTTATTTTCTGGATTATGAGAGTAAGACCTGGAGCACCATTCCAACTCAGAATCTTTCAGTTGTGAGTTATGTTTTTATGTTCACACCATCTTTGGTGCCTCCATGATGCTATAAATCAAAGTGGCACTGTTACGGGCTCTGAAGCGAGTTCAGCTACAGATTCTACAGCTGCTGATCTCGTTCTGCAAGAACATGCCTAAACTTTGTTGCCGCTGTCCGTGAGAGTTGAGTTACACAGATACTTTTTTTTGTTCTTGATTCATCCGTTTGCTTTGCTCCACTTGATTCTGCAGTGTGTCCAATAAAAATGTTTCAAAAGCTTTGAAAATAAATCTTGCAGGTTGTACATTTGCTGCAACCTCTCAGCCTTGAGATCCCGGATGTACCGGAACAACTTGGGCATTCAATATTTATCTGTAGTTGTTCTATAACATCTTCATTTATAAAGGATTATTGTAAGATTTAAATCGGACGAGTTTCTAAGGGCAATAGTTTCAAAGGTTTACTAGAAGCATGGTCTTTGAATGTACATTCGTCAAGATATAATTTTTATTGATTTTCCACAATTTACAACTCAACCCCGTGTCTCCACGAAATCACCGAAACTTTCCATTTTTTTACTTTCCAAAACTTTTCATTTTCCAAGCTTCAACCATTTGGGCCTGGGCTTGCTTCCTTTACCAACAGGAACTGTTTGTTGAGAGCTTGGTCGTGTTTCTTCCGGGGACGCTACTCGAGGAGGAGATCCCGCTGGTGGAGCTAAAACTTGGTCTTTGGATTCTTCATCCGAATGCTGTGAAGCGAGGACGATCTCCTTGAGATATGGCCCTTGGAAATCTGGAGGAAAAGAGATCCCTTAGAACCGCTGGAACTAAGTGCAAAGATACCCTTACCATTGTTGTAGGATAGATAAACAAGAGCTCCTGGAACTAAGCCAGCATCGTACATGGTAACATTGTAGTCCTTGAGGATTTGCTTGGGAGGCGTTGTGTCTGTCTTTCAAAGTGTAAGCTTCATGAACTAGAACAAAAAAAGAGTTTTGGGAGGAGAACTTACACAGATGGAACGGGATCTCTGGCTTTAGCAGCAATTTTTCCAGCATTGTAACAAGCTCCACAACCAGATCCAGAGGACTAAAATCGGCCTCAACGATGATGCTATCCGGGAACTGGACACGAAGTGTGGCCTGCGAGGGGAAAAGAATGTAAGTCGGGCGATCCATGGAGTGACAATTTCAGTACCTTAGCAAACTTGGATCTACGAGCTGCTGCCTCAGCGTCACGGATTTTTGCTGTCTTCAAGAATCTCTCTGGAAGGCAAAAGAAAAAACGCAAAAAGGAAACTTTGAGTGAAAGATCATATGGAAGAACCAACACGATCGAACCTGCCGACCTTCTCTTTTCTTGGACACCAATCGGGCATAATCTTCCGGAGTTAGCTCGTAGAATTCATCGCTCTCGGCCTCCTCTGCCCCATCAGAATCATACCCATCAAAATCGAAAACTCGGAAAGGACTTCTCTCGCCTTTGCCAGTCGCGTGCTGAATCGGGGCCTCCAACGCCGCGGGATTGACGAACACACGGAGATCTCTTCCAATCAAGCTTCTCACTGCCGCCTGTAAGAGAGGATTTTCAGGATTGGAGAGTTCACCAAACGATACAAACCAGCGATTGCTGCCAGGCGCCGGGCGAAGAATGCGCTTCACTCGCCATAAAACCTTATTAGGGTTCTTCCAAGAAAGGGCTATATATGGCAACGCTGACGTCACTGAAATGGGGGGAAAATTATTTCTAGGGTTCATGATCGCGTCGCGGGCGCTAGCTGGACGATCCACGATTGGATTGGAGAGGCGCATTGGAGTATTGGATTGGAGGTATGCCGCGCTTCTCCTTTTCAGCAGAGGATTCCAGGAGAGATCCAAGCGACCGAAGATTGGGGCAGGGATTCCCGTGAAGCCGCCATTGGCACCAAAGAAGCCGCTGGACGATTGGGACATCGAGAGTGATCCCGAGGGGGATTTTGAGCCGACTAGGAAATGCAAATCGCTGCTCAAGAAGAGGGGACGTTGGTCTTTGCATATGGCCAAAATTCTTGCTACATTCTCCTCAACGAGCCTCAACAATGCTATCAAGTGAGTGATTTTTCTTGCTCTTTGTTCCCTGCCATTTTTCTTTCCTTGTTTCTTTGGTTATTTGGTTCCGTTTTTTCTTCTCTTTTTACCTTTCCTTTTTGTTCTTTGTTTCGAAGATGGGGATGCTTACCGGACGAATGCTATGATGCTGTTAAGACGCTACAGGTAGTTTTTCTCCCTTCGATCATCACAATCTATCTAAAAAATGGTGTTTTTGGTCCTTTTTTCCAGAAGATGGAAGCCACTGGAGTTTTGGTTGGAAAGCGAAGGCTCTATAACTACTTGGGTGAGAGCTCATTCTTTCTTGCGATGGATGATAGATGTTCTTGTCTGAATGCAGCGGGTTTGCTTCACAATGCCAGCCCTTCTGTGGTGGAGTATGTTTTGCATAGTCTGCAACGCGAAGAGCCTGCCATCAAGAGAATTGGAGGAATTAGAGACAATGAGGTATGCATGAGGTCCTTTTGAAATCATTCTAAGCAAGAATGATTTTTCATAGATGGAAGAGTATACCATGAGCTTGTCTGACAAATGGTTTGATGGCCTCATGTCCGGAAACTTGAACATCCACAATGACATCCATTGTTTACCATACGAGATGTTTGACAGAGAAGTGAGTTTGTCTTTGTGATAAACACTTAAATACGTTTCTTTCGTGTTTCAGGAGCTCCGGTGGCTTATAAAGAACCTCAAGGGAAGGATTTACATGAGAGACAAGCTTCCAATGAAGGATCCGCTGTGGGAGCATCGATCAACGAAATGCGTCCGTGCTGAGAACCGCTTGAGACGTTTCTTACAAGATCTAGCCCGGAGAGATTACAGTGGTAAAGCTTACGACAAGGCACAAAAGGAGGAGGCAAAAACCGGTGTATGCAGACCATTTGTTCTCAACTGGAAGTAGCACGATGGTTAAAATGGTCGTCCAAAAACTCGCTGGATTCCATCGTTTCTAACATTCGTTTTCCTTGTAGAGGATTTATCTGGTTACCTTTCAGCAATGGATGGATCATTCCCATCGTCCGAGAGAGGAGGTACTCCTCAGGATTGAAGCGAGCGTCAAGGTGGAAATAGCTGCCATCAGGAAGAACAGAACCACAGGATCCCCATTTGCAACAATCGCTTCTTGAGGTGTGTGTTCCACTGGTTTTTAATCTCGTTGTCAGTTCGTCCAGGAATGTGCGATGCGATCACGGACCACTTGAAAGTGAAACACGCAAGAACGTAGAGAACGCAAGAATTTAGAGGTAAAACTCTACAAACTGTTACCGGTTTCGCAGGATTGAATGCAGCCAGATGTTGGGAAGCTCGTCTTGGGCTGTGATCCCGCCTCGTTTTATATCCGGCCGGAGATAGTTTGTCCATCGCAGCCTGCACCGCAACGATTGAGTCCTGCTCGCAAGATCCAGGAGAAACAAGATGTGAGAAATCGATTCACCCGGTTTCTCCGGTAGCGATTCTCGTGACCGTGTTTCCGAATGTAAGCGAGTGAGTCCCTCTTTGCTCCGGCGAGGAGGCCTCCCCATTGCAAAGCAAGGAGAAGTAAAGAGAGAGTTCTATAGACATTGTGATTGTCTATTTATTTGTATACATTCCAGTGGAAGAAGCCTGGAGTGTGAGGTAGATTGCTAGACTTCTCCCTTTGGTCAAAAGGTTTCTTTTGGATTCATCGCTTTAGAGTTATAGATCGTCGCGGCTTTCAAAAGCTTTTCTCCGTTCCAGAAGACCACGTTGTAGTGGTGGAATAAAGCGGGCGTAAGCCCGGGCGAGGCTCACCCGGCTAGAAGTGGTCAAGCCTGTCAACTCTGTATCGATCCACAGTCGAATCGATCGCTCCGGTCCACTTCAAGATCCCCCCAATCCTGCCTGGCAAGAAGCGCCGGCTGATCTCCCCAACCACGTCAGTACTTACATGTCTTGCCTCTCTTTGCAGTACGACAACGTCATGGCTGCCGTATATTTCTTAGTCAATACAGTTGCCAGCCATACAGTACCCAAGTACGAAGGACGTGCTAGAAAGATTGGACTCTTCGCCACCTTATTCTTTTGAAAGAAAGTAGGAACAAAGAATTACCTGGACATTTTGATCGTAATTAATCTTAAACTTACAGGGTCCAAAAGCCTAAATTCTGGTGAGAAAATGGAGCGCGCCCTCGCAAGAATGCGGCGCCGGCGGTGTCGATCGTGCTGGTTTCTTCCATATGATCTTTCACTCAAAGTTTCCTTTTTTTTTCCTTTTGCCTTCCAGAGAGATTCTTGAAGGCAGTAAAAATCCGTGACGCTGAGGCAGCAGCTCGTAGATCCAAGTTTGCTCTGAAATTGTCACTCCATGGATCGTCCGACTTACATTCTTTTCTCCTCGCAGGCCACAGTTCGTAGATAGCATCATCATTGAGGCCGATTTTAGTCCTCTAGATCTGGTTGTGGAGCTTGTTACAATGCTGGAAATTTGCTGCTAAAGCCAGAGATCCCGTTCCATCTGTGTAAGTCCTCCTCCCAAACAGCATGCAGCTTACACTTTGAAACACAGACACAACGCCTCCCAAGCAAATCGGACTACAATGTTACCATGTATGATGCTGGCTTAGATCTTGTTTATCTATCCTACAACAATGGTAAGGTCTCTTTGCACGAAGTTCGGTTCTAAGGGATCTCTTTTCCTCCAGATTTCCAAGGGCCATATCTTAAGGAGATCGTCCTCGCTTCACAGCATTCGGATGAAGAATCCAAAGACCAAGTTTTAGCTCCACCAGTGGGATCTCCTCCTCGAGTAGTGTCCCCGGAGGAAACACGACCAAGCTCTCGACAAACAGTTCCTCTTGGTAAAGGGAGCAAGCCCAGACCCAAATGGAAAATGAAAAGTTTGGGCAGTGGTTTCGTGGAAATGAGTTGTAAATTGTGGAAAATCAATGAAAATTATAACTTGACGAATGTACATTCAAAGATCATGCTTCTAAACTTACAATAATCCTTTATAAGTGAAGATATTATAGAACAACTACAAATAAATATCAAATGCCGGAGTTATTCCGGTACGTTCGGGATCTCAATGAAGAAGTTGAGAGGTTGTAGCAAATGTTACAGGCTGGGAGATTTTTTTTCAAAGCTTTGAAACTTTTTTATTGGACACACTGCAGAATCAAGTGGAGCAAAGCAAACAGATGAATCAAGAACGAAAAAAAGTATCTGTGTAACTTAACTCTCACGGACAGCGGCAGCAAAGTTCAGGCATGTTCTTGCGGAACGAGATCAGCAGCTGTAGAATCTGTAGCTGAACTCGCTTCAGAGCCCGTAACAGTGCCACTTTGATTTATAGCATCATGGAGGCACCAAAGATGGTGTGAACATAAAAACATAACTCACAACTGAAAGATTCTGAGTTGGAATGCTGCTCCAGGTCTTACTCTCATAATCCAGAAAAAAACAGCTTTTCCTTGTCCGGAATCACGAAGGTGCCTTCGTAAAAACAGATCGGAAGCATAGGATAGCGTCCCTCATTGAAATCACAGCTTGCCTCCTGAACAAGTCCATTTGATGCACAGTCCAACCTCATCAGGCTCATCTGGTCTTTTAGCAAAGCCACCATGAAAAACTGAGTTGCTATTGTTACCATCCATTTGTATATAGACCAGCAAAATTGAATAGGAGAATTGTCTCTGAAAGATGACCACTCAACAAACCATCTCATTTCTTCCATGTTGAAGCTCAAAATCCCCCACATACAGTCATGTTTGGCAGAAAAATAAGCGTTGCTGTTAGCCATCCCAACTCCATATTTGAGATGATACCAGCCAGGAAGGTAATCCACCGTGTCCCACACTCCCGATCTTGAGTGATATACATGCAATTGCTTTGCTATATCTCCCGCTATACAAATCCAGTAACGCTACGGTTCCAATACCAGGGCACAATGAATATTCGGGGATATATCCAGGGGCGGCACCTTGAGAGCTCGGGTGAGCGGATTGAGAGCAACATAGTCACGGCCCATCTTTCCAAACAGCAATCCACCACAAGCCTTGACAACCCTGATGTGACCGTAGACATCCTGACGGACCCAATCCTTCTGTGCTTCAGATCCAGCAACGAACGGGTTGCAGCTATAGAGTTTATCACCATTTTGAGTTATACCCAAGACACGAGGGGGGCAAATCTGCTTGTTTATAGAGTGGTGTGCTGAATGGAACTTTGCAAATCTTGGTGAGTCTATGAGATTGCACACGACCCTGATGCGGCAGTGCAAAACAACTGCTGGCAAGCGCTTCAACACCTCCTCTTCAACTATGTGCACCAAGATGTCCATACCTACCATTAAAGAAAAGGCTTCTGCTGATCCTAGGTATTTTGCAGTTTAAAAAACGTTCACGTACAAAAAGCTGCATTCCGTCCTCCACGAAGCATAATCAGAGGACTCGCATCGTCTCTAACAGGCCTAGAAACAAATTGTCTTTCCACAACACCTGATCATCACTAAAGCTCTCTAGCGAGTCAGGTTTTACTGGAAGCGGTGCGTTGGTTCTGGTGAAACTGCCAACGAAAGCAGTGGAGAATCCATTCAAGTTATCCTGGCAAAGGAGGTCCAGCTTGCAGAGAAATCACTTCTATGACACAACAACCAAGAATCTACTTGAGACAACCAATAGCCGCTGTCCAGCAACGCCTCGAATTCCTCTCGAAACTTAAGCAGCTGCTCTCCGCGCATCCAGATGGAATTCGCGCTGCTTCCTGTTGCAACAATTTTAATCAAGGACTTACTAGTCCTTTATTGTTGTGTCATTCGTTTGCCTCCGTTTGCTCCATTTGAATCTGCAATATACGCACCTGTGTCCAAGAAAAACATGTCAAAAGCTTTATCTCCCAGCTTGTACCATTTGCTGCAGCCTCTCAGCCTCTTCATTGAGATACGGCCTTACCGAAACAACTCTGGCACAACATTTTAAACCTTTAAAACACTGACGAGATTTGTTGTAAGATGACAGCCGCGTTTCGATTCAGAGCTCAACGACTTTTGAACAGCCACCATTGTTTCAGATCATGTATCTGTATCATGTATTTGCTTGAAACAAGTCCAAGATACCGGAAAGAAACGAACCCTGCCCTTCCCTACTCCTCTTGCAGTGAGCATTTTGCCGTTTTTCCTATGCTGAGTGAACTGGACAGCGGCAAGATCGTCAGTCAGGTTCTTGGCTTTCTTTTCAGACTTTGGAAGGCACAACCTCACACAGTGTTATCATTGTCTGGAAAGACTAACCTTCATACGCGTAAATTTTGCATATATAGCAGGATCCAGCAAAAGACAACGTGACTGAGACCAAACAAAGTTGTAAGATCTGGAAGATACGACTACCTGGAGGCCTTAACGAAAGCTTCAAATCGTGAAAGAGGGTCTAAATTACAATCGCGTTTTTAACAGAAAACAGAAACATTGAAGAGAGATGCCTTCATCTCTGCAATTTCTTGCTCCTTGTTTGACAGTTGGATCAGCATGACAGTTTCCTTGTGCCTGGAAGATGCGCGCTGTGAAAAGACAATCAGAAAACAAAGGAAAATACACAACTCTGCAACACCAAACTTGCAAACCTGGTCTTTCAAGGATGCTTAGAGAAATTATATATGGTCCAAGATCACCCGAGGATCTAATAAATTAGTAATAACAACATATAAAAACACAAACATATAAGATTATGTAAGCTGCAAGAGTTTTGGGAGGAGAACTTACATAGATGGAATGGGATCTTTGGCTTCAGCAGCAATTTTTACAGCATTGTCACAAGCTCCACAACCAAATCTAAAGGACTAAAATCGCAGGAACTGGACACGAAGTGTGGCCTGCGAGGAGAAAAGAATGTAAGTCGGACGATCCATGGAGTGACAATTTCAGTACCTTAGCAAACTTGGATCTACGAGCTGCTGCTTCAGCGTCACGGATTTTTGCTGTCTTCAAATCTCTCCCCATCAAAATTGAAAACTCGGAAAGGACTTCTCTCGCCTTTGCCAGTCGCGTGCTGAATCTGGGCCTCCGACGCCGCGGGCTCCGACGTATGTCTCTTAAGATAAACCCTAAAGGTCCAAAATCCAAAATCCCTATTAAACCCAAAAGGGTCCAAAATCCAAAATTCTGAGCGCCAATCCCTCGCAAGAATGCGGACGCCAGGGCATCGGTGAGCTCCTCCCCCACGGAGATCGCCGCTCCATCGCGGCAGCAGGGCACCGGCGAGCACGCGATCGTGTTGAATCACTACAGCAGCCGCGTGACGCAGCCCAAATCCCAGCTCTATGGCGTGGGGCTGCGCGACGAGAACATGGCCAAGGCGCAGGTCGGGATCTTCTCGGTGTGATACGAGGGCAACACTTGCAATATGCATTTGCTCAAGCTCTTCGAGGCTGTCAAGGAGGGAGCGGCATGGTGGGATTTCGATTCAACACCGTGGGCATCTCGATGGGGACCCCGAGGGGATGTGCTTTAGCTTGCAGTCGCGGGATTTTATAGCTGACCGTCATGGGTGGACAGTGGTACGATGCAAATGTCTCCATTCCAGGCTGCGAGGTGATCGACTATGCTCCCCTTTCTCTTTGTTGTTTCTTTTTGGTCTTCTCATTCTTCCTTTGTGCTTTAGATGCCAGGAACTCTCATTGCAATGGGAAGGCTGAATCGACCAAGCATTATGGAACTATCAAAGTAAGTTTTCTCTATCTTTTTGGTTTCTTTTGTTCGCACTTGCTGAAACTGTTGGTTCAGCCAGGAATCCTGAACGGGCATGCGTACAATATAGTGTCAGCTTTCCAGGTATTTCTGGTTCGTTTTGTTTCTCATGGTGGTCACGTAAATGAAGCTTATGCTGTGTTTTCATTGTCTTCTCGGTTTGTTTTTCTTAACGTACAGACAGCTACTGAGAATATGTTGGTGGTCACATTTCTGACCAGCAGCGACTGAACGTTTTGCAACATTCATGTCCAGGCGCTGGAGCTTATGGTGGAATGTACACGGCAAGTACCATTGAAGCCTTAGGCATGTAACGCTGTCCAGGTGAGCAGACCATGCTTGGGCATTCTCTGAGATATTCTGTGTACCTCTTCCATATACCCGTTTTAGGCATAGGCTGGGCATCCGGTTGAAGAGCGATGTGGAGTCTGGATGTTTCAATGTTTGACATTTGGCAGTATGATAAATTCTTTGTTGTTTCATTCCCCTTGCTGGCATTACTAGCTTTGTCCTTGTCAGCATCCAGCATTGTCTGCCTATTTGATTCTAGTTTTGCCTTTGTCGCCATTGTCACCTTTGGTTGTTATGCCACTAATTCCAACTTCACCCATGCCTTCATTGTCTTAGTTTTTGGGAAGAGTTTTGAGCAACAACTTTTTGAATATCTTCTTGCATGACTTATTTATATTGAGTTATTTGTGCAGTTAAAGGTGAAATTGAAAATGATGTTTTGTGCAGTTAAAGGTGAAATTGAAAATGATGTTTTGCACAGTTAAAGGTGAAATTGAAAATGATGTTAAGCGCAAGTGGAACATAAAGTTTAATATTACTAAATAAGTTGTTCAAGAAAATATTTAAGAAATTATCGTTTAAAGCTTTTTTTTAAGGATGATGATGATAATGTGGTTGAAATTGGTGGTGTGCAAAGCAGTGGATACTGAGGATGATGTGGTAGGTGAGGTTGAGGATGATATGGTGGGTGAGGCAAAGAATGTTGACAAGGGTGATAAGGTAGTAGTAGCAGCTGCAAAAGTATTTTGAAAATATCCTTCAAAGTTGAGAGGACATTGTTTGTAATGGGTTTTGATCAAAATGTCATATTTTGCTTTATAGTGAATTCAAAGATTTTTAATAAATTATATTTTCATTGTTATAGTTGGGTCCTAGCACTAGAAAGAATCACACAGATACTACACTATAGAAAGGCTACCTCACGTTTTTGGGTGACAAGAACTTTTCCAGTGAATGTCGAGTGAATGTCGCAGCTTTTTGAAGTCCTTTACCTGAAATAGCACAAAAGACTGGAACATTGAGAATGAAGCAGACCTTTAGATAGCCAACTTTGTTGGCGAGCAACACAATGGTGGGGAATCATCATTGGCAGGGGATCAAAGTTGCCACTACCCAGCGCCTTTACAAGGACAATGGCATGTCAAGTGACTCTCGTATCTTTCAGCTTCAAAAACTCTGTCAAGTGCTTTCCAGGCACTCTTGAGGAATGGAAAGTGTGATTCCAAGTCTTTAAATGGAATGGAAAATATGCATGTACAAAAGAAGTAAGTTCTATCGAGAAGAGACAAAGACCTGTATAAAGGACCCAAGGCTTCTCTGGCACTGGCCAGCTGTGTATATTCCGCCACAAGCTCACACGAATGCTGCAAATTTTCAGTCGCTGCTCGTCAGAAGTACGTTAAACAACACATTCTCGACAGAAAAAAGAACAAAAAATATGCCTGGTTGGTGGTAGCATTTGCAGCTACAAACAAAAAAATGATAACGATAAGAAAGAACTCACGTTGACAGTTCCTCCGTGATCGATTACCTCACCATCAACGTCGATGTATCCTCCTTGGAACACTCTTCCACCGGGAACGCTTGCACCTATATATGCATCAAAGATCAAACAAAGCTTCGAATGAGACATACGTGAGATACTTGCATTCCACCGCTGTATGCTCGTAAGCAGGCCAATGAACTTGAGTCCCAGAGAACAATGAGATCCAGAAGACCATCTGCAAACTGCTATGGACGTAAGAGAATGCGAAATCTTAAGTGTGACCTTGGACTCGGGGTTACCCCAAGGAACGTTTTGCCCTCCATCACTCTCCAGTTGACGAGGATACCAGTTAGGCGTAAGCCATGCGTAATTGCCTCTGCAAAAGGAGTGGCTCTATCTTGAAGCTAAAACACACCTCGACAAAAACGCGAAAAGCTCCATCATACTGCGTGATATTCACTGAGTTGGCCATCTCTCTCGCATGAAGCTGGTGAAACAGAGAAAGTTTTATGTCACGAGAAAACACCTTCTTTTGTGATCTCAATGCGAGCTGCTGGGAGTTAGTCTTCATTGATGAAAACGATCGATCTCTCCGGCCTCCCTAAAGAAAAACAAAGAAAAGTCCAGGAAAAGGAAATCACACTCAGCAAGAAGATCTACTTACATGATCGGCATCTCACAGTCCTCTTGCGCTGATTGCCTCCACAGCACCCCTTCTCTGTGAATCCATGAATGTCGGTGCTGATCCCATGGCCGTCATTTCAACACCCCCGAGGAGCTGAAAGACCGAGCAGGAGCTGTGCAGCTTACGTAGTTTGCTCGGAAGGACAAACTATCAATGCTTCACTTAATAGATCGGCAATAAATCGAATTTTCTCACCAGGATTTAGGGTTTTGGACCCTGTAGGTTTATGATTAATTACGATAAATACGTCCAGGTAATTCTTTGTTCCTACTTTCTTTCAAAAGAAAAAGGTGGCGAAGAGTCCAATCTCTCTAGCACGTCCTTCGTACTTGGGTACTGTATGGCTGGCAACTGTATTGACTAAGAAATATACGGCAGCCATGACGTTGTCGTACTGCAAAGTGAGGCAAGACATGTAAGCACTGACGGATCAGCCGGCGCTTCTTGCCAGGCAGGATATTGGGGGGATAAAGGGGGGCCAGAGGGTGGATCTTGGAGTGGACCGGAGCGATCGATTCGACTGTGGATCGACACAGAGGTGACAGGCTTGACCACTTCTAGCCGGGTGAGCCTCGCCTGGGCTTACGCCCGCTTTATTCCACCACTACAACGTGGTCTTCTGGAACGCGTCTAAAAGAGAAAATCTTATGAAAGCCGCGACGATCTATAACTCTAAAGCGATGAATCCAAAAGAAACCTTTTGACAAAAGGGAGAAGTCTAGCAATCTACCTCACACTCCAGGCTTCTTCCACTGGAATGTATACAAATAAATAGACAATCACAATGTCTATAGAACTCTCTCTTTACTTCTCCTTGCTTTGCAATGGGGAGGCCTCCTCGCCGGAGCAAAGAGGGACTCACTCGCTTACATTCGGAAACACGGTCACGAGAATCGCTACCGGAGAAACCGGGTGAATCGATTTCTCACATCTTGTTTCTCCTAGATCTTGCGAGCAGGACTCAATCGTTGCGGTGCAGGCTGCGATGGACAAACTATCTCCGGCCGGATATAAAACGAGGCGGGATCACAGCCCAAGAAGAGCTTCTCAACATCTAGCTGCATTCAATCCTGTGAAACCGGTAACAGTTTGTAGAGTTTTACCTCTAAATTCTGCGTTCTCTAAGTTCTTGCGTGTTTCACTTTCAGGTTGTCCGTGATCGCATCGCACATTCCTGGACGAACTGACAACGAGATTAAAAACCACTGGAACACACACCTCAAGAAGCAATTGTTGCAAATGGGGATCCTGTGGTTCTGTTCTTCACGTTTTCATATTACATTTATAAAGGATTACTGTAAGATTTAAATCAGACAAGTTTCTAATATGGGCAATAGTTTCAGAAGTTTACTAGAAGCATGATCTTTGAATGTACATTCGTCAACATATCAACCCAACTACAAATAAAATACTGAATGCCCGAGTTGTTCTGGTACGTCCAGAATCTCAATGAAGAGGCTGAGAGGTTGCAGCGAATGTTACAAGCTGGGAGATTTCTTTTCAAAGCTTTTGACATTTTTTTATTGGACACAGGTCCGTATACTGCAGAATGAAGTGGAGCAAAAGGAACGCAAACGGATGAATCAAGAACGAAAAAAAGTATCTGTGTAGCATAACTCTCACGGACAGTGGCAGCAAAGTTCAGGCATGTTCTTGCGGAACGAGATCAGCAGCTGTAGAATCTGTAGCTGAACTCGCTTCAGAGCCCGTAACAGTGCCACTTTGATTTATAGCATCATGGAGGCACCAAAGATGGTGTGAACATAAAAACATGTGAAAGATTCTGAGTTGGAATGCTGCTCCAGGTCTTACTCTCATAATCCAGAAAATAAAGCTTTTCCTCCGGAATCATGAAGGTGCCTTCGTAAAAACAGATTGGAGGGATAGGATATTGTTCCTCATTTAGCTTGCTTTAGCTTGCAGTCGCGGGATTTTATAGCTGATAGCATCGAGACCGTCATGGGTGGACAGTGGTACGATGCAAATGTCTCCATTCCAGGCTGCGAGGTGATCGACTATGCTCCCCTTTCTCTTTGTTGTTTCTTTTTGGTCTTCTCATTCTTCCTTTGTGCTTTAGATGCCAGGAACTCTCATTGCAATGGGAAGGCTGAATCAACCAAGCATTATGGAACTATCAAAGTAAGTTTTCTCTTTCTTTTTGGTTTCTTTTGTTCGCACTTGCTGAAACTGTTGATTCAGCCAGGAGTCCTGAACGGGCATGCGTACGATATAGTGTCAGCTTTCCAGGTATTTCTGGTTCGTTTTGTTTCTCATGGTGGTCACGTATATTGAGTTATTTGTGCAGTTAAAGGTGAAATTGAAAATGATGTTAAGTGCAAGTGGTCTAATGTAAATAAGTAATATTTAAGAAATTATTGTTTAAAGCTTTTTTTATGATGATAATGTGGTTGAAATTGGTGGTGTGCAAAGTAGTGCATACTGAGGATGATGTGGTGGGTGAGGCAAAGAATGTTGGCAAGGGTGATAAGGTAGTAGTAGCAGCTGCAAAAGTATTTTGAAAATATCCTTCAGAGTTGAGAGGACATTGTTTGTAATGGGTTTTGATCAAAATGTTATATTTTGTCTTATAGTGAAATTCAAAGATTTTTAATAAATCATATTTTCATTGTTATAGTTGGGTCCTAGCACTAGAAAGAATCACAAAGATGCTACACTATACAAAAGCTACCTCACGTTTTTGGGTGACAAGAACTTTTCCAGTGAATGTCGAGCGAATGTCACAGCTTTTTGAAATCCTTTACCTGAAATAGCACAAAAGACTGGGACATTGAGAATGAAGCAGACCTTTAGATAGCCAACTTTGTTGGCGAGCAACACAATGGTGGGGAATCATCATTGGCAGGGGATCAAAGTTGCCACTACCCAGCGCCTTTACAAGGACAATGGCATGTCAAGTGACTCTCGTATCTTTCAGCTTCAAAAACTCTGTCAAAGTGCTTTCCAGGCACTCTTGAGGAATGGAAAGTGTGATTCCAGGTCTTTAGATGGAATGAAAATACGCATGTACAAAAGAAGGTAAGTTCTATCGAGAAGAGACAAAGACCTGTATAAAGGACCCAAGGCTTCTCTGGCACTGGCCAGCTGTGTATATTCGGCCACAAGCTCAGGACCTGGACACGAATGCTGCAAACTTTCAGTCGCTGCTCGTCAAAAGTACGTTAAACAACAAATTCTCGAAAGAAAAAAGAACCAAAAATATGCCTGGTTGCTGTAGCATTTGCAGCTACAAACAAAAAAATTGAAAACGATAAGAAAGAACTCACGTTGACAGTTCCTCCGTGATCGATTACGTCACCATCAACGTCGATGTATCCTGCTTGGAACACTCTTCCACTGGGAACACTTGCACCTATAAATGCATCAAAGATCAAACAAAGCTTCGAGTGAGAGATACGTGAGATACTTGCATTCCACCACTGTATGCTCGTAAGCAGGCCAATGAACTTGAGTCCCAGAGAACAATGAGATCCAGAAGACCATCTGCAAACTGCTATGGACGTAAGAGAATGCGAAATCTTAAGTGTGACCTTGGACTTGGGGTTACCCCAAGGAACGTTTTGCAGCAAAACCATCACGGATGCTCCCTCCATCACTCTCCAGTTGACGAGGATACCAGTTAGGCGTAAGCCATGTGTAATTTCCTCTGCAAAAGGAGTGGAGCTCCATCATACTGCGTGGTATTCACTGAGTTGGCCATCTCTCTCGCATGAAGCTGGTGAAACAGAGAAAGTTTTATGTCACGAGAAAACACCTTCGTTTGTGACCTCAATGCGAGCTGCTGGGAGTTAGTCTTCATTGATGAAAACGATCGATCTCTCCGGCCTCCCTAAAGAAAAACACAGAAAAGTCCAGGAAAAGGAAATCACACTCAGCAAGAAGATCTACTTACATGATCGGCATCTCACAGTCCTCTTGCGCTGATTGCCTCCACAGCACCCCTTCTCTGTGAATCCATGAATGTCGGTGCTGATCCCATGGCCGTCATTTCAACACCCCCGAGGAGCTGAAAGACCGAGCAGGAGCTGCGCAACTTACGTAGTTTGCTCGGAAGGGCAAACTATAAATGCTTCACTTAACAGATCGGCAATAAATCGAAGTGATCTATTATAAGGCGAGCAAACTTTGTGGCCTGCACATCGCGAACGAATTCAGTAACCAGAAAAATAAAGTTTCCACTACCTCGAGATTGCGATGTCTTTGTCGATCCTCATTACAAGGACCATGGCATTCTGAAGCGACTCTTTCGTGCTCATAAGCTCCATCAAGGGCTTTCCAAGCAGCCGGTACTCATGTAACTTTAGAGGGTCTTCAGATGGAATGGAAGAACTACACTTAACAAAAGAAGGAAATCAGTTTCTATCCAAAATAGACAGAGACCTATAAGGAAGGGACGTGCAAGGCTTCACTCGTGTACATTCCGCCACAAGCTTAGCACCTGGACATGAATGCTCCGCCGCTCGTAAGAGGTACATTATAAAAAAATCGCAGCGTGTTACGCGAATAAACAGAACCAGAAATACCTGGAAAGCTGAACACTGATCGTATGTATCCCCACAACAGCATTTTCAGCTAGTACGAAAAATAAATGAAAGCGAAAAAAAAAAAACTCACGTTGAATCTTATAGAGAGATGCCTGGAATTGAGACATTTGCATCGTAACACTGCTCCCAGCTATCAAATCCTCGTCACAACCCCGCCACTGACATCGATGTATCCTACTTGGAACAGTCTTCCACCGGGAGCGCTTTCACCTATGCATGAAAAGTTTTACGCTCTTCCTGTAAGCTTTTTGAGCGACTTACTTTGACATACGTGAGATACTTCCCTTGCTGTATGCTTGTAAGCAGGGCGATGAGCTTGCAGTCCTGGATAGAAATTCGTCTGCAAACCGCTATGAAAAGACAACGAGATCTTAGAGTGTGTACCTTGGACTCGGAGAAGCCTTCACTAGCCCAAGGAACTTTAAACATCACGAATGCTCCCTCCATCACTCTCCAGTCGCTTCTCAGCGACGAGGATACCGGTCCCGAGTAGCTGGTCGCAGCGCGTTTCCTTCTCTCGCTGTCACACTCGACTTTCATGCCATCGAGCTTGCCGTAGTAAGGTGCTCCAGGCGCTGGACCGTAGGTGAAAACACCGTTGTACCGCCAGAAGCGTAAGATACGTATCAAGCTCTGCAACAAGAGTGGAGTTCACATGTTATTTTAGCTCTTTCTTGAAGACCACTTATGTAAAATCGAAATACATCGATACCTTTCGGATTTAATGTCGACATCTGCGACAAATCCTGAAACGCAGCTAGCAGTCTTTTAGAATGTAAACATTCTATGTACCCCATGTCAGTAGAAAAACGCTGTTTTTTGGTCCTTCTACAACCGTGGCGACATCAACCGCTGGTTTGTGACTTAACGCAAATAACTCCCTGAACGATATTCACGGATTTTGGCCATGTCTCTCGCAAGCTGGATTTGAGTCACTGAAATAAAATAAACTACAGACGAGAAGAAAACAAAACAAGTGAAAGTGAAACCTTTTTTTCGTGACCTCAATGCGATGTCCTGGGAGTAGTGGCAAAACACCCTGAAAAAAAAATTCCAGGAAAATACAGCTTGTTCTAGGAAAAGATCTACGACTCCATTCTATAAAAAGTTTCGCCCTAATCTAAAGTATCTCTGGTATATATTCTTCGCATCTCTTCATTAACTTCATGCATGGGTTTTTCAGCTTCATTGCTGAGAAATCGATACCATGCGAGCCTCGCGGATGAAACTCACATAAATCCAGTGGCATTGAAGCTGATGGCAACACTCCACAATCCAGCCACTGTAAAAACATATAAAAGGATTAATCTTCCTGTCGACTATCTTATTGGCAACTTCTAGCTTTCAAGAAAACCTATACCGAGGAACCGAAATGTTTATCTATAGCATAAAATCCTCTTTTGCCGTGCGTCCGTACGATTTTTTTGGCAAGCTCACATCTGAGCCGTACAATTCGTGGCGACGGTGCAGATGTAAGCAATTGTGAACCGTTTGCTGAAAGTATAGTTTGCACAAACTATCTCCGGCCGGATATAAAACGAGGCGGGATCACAGCCCAAGAAGAGCTTCTCAACATCTAGCTGCATTCAATCCTGTGAAACCGGTAACAGTTTGTAGAGTTTTACCTCTAAATTCTGCGTTCTCTAAGTTCTTGCGTGTTTCACTTT